GCCTCCTCATGATTTCCTGTATGGAGTCAATGCCACTCATTTTGCGATCAGCAGCTGTCTTCTAAATGGGCTGATTCAGTTCTGCAGCTAACCTTTTCTTTTCGTGGGGAAAATAGACTCCATGGTACTTTTCTTTTCTTTTTTTTATTTTGGTCAGGCATGGGAAGTGGGCAGCAAGGTGAGTGGCGTAGGGTTTGGGCCACACTTGGTTGTTTTCAGGGATCCTACCTTAGCAGTGCTTGGGATGCCATATGCAGTGTCAGGGATCAAATTGGGGCTGGCTGTGTGCAAGTCTTGCACCTCAAACATGTAGCATCTCTTTGGCTGTCCACAAGATCAGAGAGAGGCATACCTGGCTGTCCTCAGGGATCACTCCTAAACAGGCACACGGGAGCCTATGCAGTGCTAGGGATTGAACCCAGGTTGGCCAGATGCAAAGCATGCTCCTTACTGTACTATCACACCAACCTCCCTATGTTTCCTTTTAATAATCTTTAAAAGCAAACTTTTTTTTTCCTTTTATTAGTCACCAGAGTGATTTTTTACACTAAAGTTTTTTTGTTGTTATTTTATTTTTATAAAGTAGTTCACAGTATTTGATTATATTTAATATTTGAACACCAATCTCACCACCATTACACCTTCCCATCACCATATTTTGGATTTTTCCATCCCAAACCCCAACCCCTGCCTCAAAGCAGAACCAAAGTAATTTATTTTGTATTGTTTATTATGAATAAAGCGCTGAAAATGCTCCAAAAATGCTCTCTTTCCTTAAAGAGTGTGTGAGTATAGTTGTATTTCACCCAGGGGCCATTAAGCTCTTCTATGAGATTGCCAATATGTTTTTAAGTTAAGCCTTGTGTGCTTCTATGTATTTTTTATACTGTAAAAATATATTTCCCTTTAAGATTGGTTGCCTTCTTCTTTAAACCCCATCAGATGTGGTGCGCTACTCTTGGAAGTATGAGTGGTGTGAGGTGTGAGATGTCCAGGAATAGGTTTAGTCGTGGGTGAGGCTCAGCCTGAGTGTGTGGAGAGTGGCCGTGAGTATGGCGGAGGTTGAGTTCTGGAGGTTTTCGGCTGCTAAGAGTCCATTGGCTCAGGGAGAGGCCTCACCCAGCTCTCTCTAGGGTGCCCCTGTGAAACAGCCTGGTGTGGGATCCGGCAGCTTGGCTATGGCGTGTCATTTTATGCTGTCTTTGAGAGAGGACAGTGAGTCTCCACTAAAGTGTTTTGCTTTGTTCTCATTTTGTATTAGCTAAAAGATGCTTGTGAAGTAGTTATTAGCATTTTATGAATAAACAGAATAAACAATAGTTTCACCTGTCTTTGGCTTCATTAATAAACTTTATTAAAACTTTGGAAATACCGAGTGGTACATAAATACATACTAAAGGAAGGGTTTGGCTACAGGAGGCACCGAAGACAAAAACAAAGGTAGCAAAGCCCAGTTTGCTCTGTTTGAGACAGAGAAGGAAGTTAGTCTGAAGAATCATGCTTGTAAGGCTAAAGAGCTTAGATTTTTATCAGGGATATTGGGATTACTTATGTTTATGCTCTGGCTGAGAAACTTTGAGCAATCAGAGCAGTTAAGAAGATGATTCAATGATGTGGGGAAATTTGGGAGGGTGGAAGAATAACAGTGATAACAGTTTTATATATATATATTCATTGGATGCTTTAGAGGCAATAGTTGGTCAAAATTTAAAAATTGAGATAGAATTACAGCATTCTGTCAGTGATTAGAGTTAGCATGTATTTGATGAAGCACCTATTTTGTGTGATGAGCCTGGGGTTGTGAAGTGGGGAAGAGAAAAGGCCCTGCGTATGAGGAGCTTGTGTTTAAAGGGGGAGAAAGACATGAAACGTGTGGGTGTGTGTGAGATATCAGATAATGCTAAGTACTCTGAAGAGCAAGAGCAAGCAGAGAGGTAAAGAATGAAGGAAAGGGCAGTGCTTTCGAGTTTATGATCCCGTTTTGGGAAAGAAACCTGAATGAAGCGAGGGAGAGAGCTCTTCACTGCATAGGGAAAGGGCACTACTGATGGAACAGCAGCTGTTGGCCAAGAGCCCAGAGCCCCCCAAGGAGGCCTGGCTGGAGTAGAGAGGTTGCTGAAAGGGGCAGAGTAGGGGTTGAGACGCAGGGAACCCAAGCAGCAGAACGTTTACTGTTCTGAAAGCTATGGCAGACTATTTGATTTGATTCCCAAAATAGGTCACTGGAGTGTCTGTTTTCAGAAGATCCCCAGGGAAGCCGGGTTGAATGGTCAGAGGAATAGTTAAGAGACTGTTGCAGGTGTCCCGTGAGAGAAAGTGGTGGCTTGGAGCTTTCCATGGTGGTAACTGGGACCTCAGCTAGAGTTTGAGCAAAGAGCTTGTTAAAAAGCTAAAGTGGGTTGTGAGAAAAGCAGAAATCAAAGAATGCCCCAGGATGCATGGGTGGGGTTTGTGTGATCCTCTCAGCATGTCCTGGCCTCCAAGATATACTGGAGTGCCAGACACCACAGAGGGCTAGGAGAAACACAGCTGTGTACCTGCTTGGCCAGACATTTTAGGGCAGGATTTAATATGTGCAGTCATATACAGCAACTGGGGGAAATTGAGTCATCCCCAAATAAGAGACTGAAAAGAAGAAAAGGTCGGGGGGTGAGGCGGGCGGTAGAAATTAATTCAGTTTGGGGCATAAGCGAGATGTTTAACATATTAGAGGCAATGTCAGGCGTCTGTGAACAATGTCAGATGAAGATGAACTTTTGCACCCAGGCTGGGGAGTCAGCAGGGCTTGCCAAGAGTTTGCTATGTTTTTTGAAATGAGAGCATGGTAAGCAGCTCGAGCTATAGAGTGAAGGGTGAGGCTGTAACATCAGGTGTAGATGGGGAAGTCTTTGTGCCCGGTGGTTTGAATGAAACTTAACAGGTTTCATTCAGGAAGCAAGGATGGAGTTGCCTTAGGGTTTTCTAGCTTTGGAAAACAGAAAATGACTGCAACACAGACAGAAGGAAGAGTTGGTCTGCGTAGCTTCCTGAGAGAAGGTGCAAAGGGGGGGGGGGGCTGGTGGTGAGGCTTGTTGGAAGCATCAGAAAGAATCGGGACTGAGGAATGCTGCTGGATCTTTCCAGAAAATGTACTATGTAGAGGGGGTAGTTGGTGGGAAGAGAATTTTCAGAGAATTGAACAAATTACTTGCAGAAATTATATACGGAAGGTTATCAACAGGTTCTCTGTTGGTTTTTCAAAATAGGATAAAGTTGTGTCTGTATCGAGGCAGAAAGAAGGGAACCCAATCAAGGAAGGAAATGAAAGTGTTGGAAACTGAGGGTGTGTGTTTGCAGGAGTTAGTGGTAAAGGAGCAAGACTCAGAATCAGAAGAAGGTCAGACACTGCTTTCATGTATGCAGGGTAGGAAAAGAGAATTAGTGTTAGCAGCAGATACTTTGCCGAAGAGTGGTAATCAACCAATCAGTGGGAAGAGTTTGTTTTCTTAGTAAAGTGGTCAAGGTCATCAGTTCCCAGACTTGCCATTGTTCTTAAATGCCTGAAGAGTGAAAGGAAACCAGCTTTAAAATGGTCAGGCTGGGATGGAAACATGGAGATTCGTTTGTTAGAGCCCATCAATGTCCTGCAGCTATTTGTGGACCCAGGAGCACAGAGGGATTGAGGATCCCAAATTGGTCCTTTTAGAGAGGGCAAAAGCACTTGGGACAGTGATTCCTAATCCCAGAAAGGACCAATCAGAGTCACTGAGAGGCTTTTTTTTCCAGGTTTTCCCTAAAATTGAAGTGTTTGTAGAAGGACTAGAGATGGGGGAGCCGCTCTCATAGATGCAGTCATACATGCTGGATGATTCTGATAACCTCTGAAAGCTGTTCTGGTTAGCAAAAACTTCACTAGGATAGTGGTTTTCAATCTCTTTCTGCTTGTGGAATAATCAAAAACCACTGGGCTCAAGTACAGGCTAGTCAGGAGTAGAAGTGGGGATTGAGAAGCTAATGCTCTGGAGGACCAAGGGTGTTTATTGAGGGGGAGGAATAGATATGGACTGATTTCAGCGGAAAACTGCAAACATTGAATTAGAGCAGCTTGACAGTGGTTAGTTACGGAATAATTTACAACCTTGGAGTTGCGGGAAAGGAAAGCCATAGTGGAAGGCCAGGGTCCAGTTTCAGCCTTGGAAACTGTTCCCAGGACTGTGTGACTTTGTCAAATGAATAGCCAAGTTACTTAACATTCTTCCAATTCTTTTTTCTCCAACCTGTTAGTCCAGTCTCAGTTGGTGTCTCCATCTGAATATTGCTGTTACAAAGTCTATGACTAAAGTGGGAGTTTTTGAAGTACTGACAAACTGTTTTCAATAATTTCACTTTTCAAACAATAGGGTTGGATAGTCTGTATGAACACATAGAATATTCCATTGGCTTAAAAAGATTCCTGAGTCTTTTCACTAATTATAAGGACAGGAAAGTGGGTAACTGCCAGAATATACACTTGGAGATCATAGGGCACTTGGGACTGTCGCTCCCCAAAGGGACCTACCCATTCCCCAGATATTAGAGCAGGGGCTGTGCCACCCACACTGGGCTTGCCCTCATCTATGCCATCTGTGTCCTGATTTGGACACCCTGTTCTCACGTTTGGTCTGATTGATAGAGCTTTATCTTATGATTTCCAAAGAAGCCATTGATTGTTGATTGGTAAGGACATTGATTTGGTGGGGAGTAGATGTATGGAACGATCTCATGCTTCACAATGATATATGAAATAAATTTTCCCAGTACAGAAGCCTCCATTCACAGTATGAGACATACTATATGAGAAAGGTTCTAAATCATTTAAAAATGTGACCAGTTTTTTTGGTAATAGAAACATACTTGTGATAACTTTTCTTTCCTCAACCCAAGTGAAGTGTTTAGAGCATGTGGGAATGTCCTGGTAACTGTTGTTCATCATCTTTATTTGTTTTTTCCTGATGGATTCCTGAACTTTCTTTTCTTCACAGGTAAAGTCAGTGATAAACCTCTTGTTTGCTGCTTATACCGGAGATGTTTCTGCCCTTCGTAGGTATGTTAAAGAATGGGTTTGCATTCTCTAGACGTTTATGAGGTTGTTTCTGGACAAGAAGCAACTTGTTTTTGGCCGCTTTATGGCTCAACTCTCATTTCCAATTCCCTCTCCTTTTTTCCCCTCTCATTAATATGACCCAAGCCAATTCATCTTAAATCTGCAATTCTCTTGCCTTTGTCTTGCTGTGCTATCTTGTCTCTCTCTCTCTCTCTCTCTCTCTCTCTCTCTCTCTCTCTCTCTCTCTCTCTTTAAACTCCTGTGAAATTTTGATTTGCTCGAGCGGGCCTAGTAACGTCTCCATTGGAGACTTTGTTGTTACTGTGTTTGGCATATCGAATACGTCACGGGTAGCTTGCCAGGCTCTGCTGTGCGGGCGAGATACTCTCGGTAGCTTGCCGGGCTCTCCGAGAGGGGCAGAGGAATCGAACTCGGGTCGGCCATGTTGGCTGCGTGCAAGGCAAACGCCCTACCACTGTGCTATCGCTCAGCCCTATTTCCCCAGATGGCTCGTTCCTGTTCCACTAATCTGGGTTGTTTGTGCTAGGGCTTTACTTGAGGTCAGCCCTGCTTTCTCAGTTCCCATCTCCCCTTATGCCACCTCTTGGGTGGTCAAAGGATAAGATAGGAACATTTGGTGTCTTGCAGATCACCAGAGTGAGATTGAGCGCATAGGACTGTATGCTTAACAGGTTTCTTCTCTAGCGTTGCAGTTAAGCTCTAAGAGGCAAACGTTGTGTGCTTAATTCTCCACTTTAGTGTGTGTGTATATGCGTGTGTGTGTTTATGTATGCACAAATACCAGGGATGAGCACCTTTTCTCATCACACAGCCTCCTTTTTAGCATAACTTCCACTTGTTCTAAAGTATGATGAGTATTTGTATCAACAACGCTATTACAAAATTGAATTAGTAAGAGACCAGATCTGAATTCTTCTCACTACAAAAAGATTAAAAGTATATGAACGATAGAGATGTTACTTAACTCATGCAAAGGTGTTAATCATAATGCAACATATAAATTTATCAGATCAGGGCCTGAGAGAGAGTATAGGGGGTAAGGCACTTTCCATTCATTCTGCTGACCCTGGTTCAATCTCTGGCACCTCAACACTGCCAGGAGTGACTCTGAACTTTTTACTGGCTAGCCCCCTCCCCCAATAAAAAAATCAACATATATACATCTTCATTTAATAATGTTACATAGTAATTACCTCAATTTTAAAATTCTACTTTATAACAATTTTTTAAAAAAATAAAATCTGAATACTTGTAAACGGTAGACTGTTAACATATTAATGACTGGAAGTCTTAGTGAAAGCATTTGGCTTTAGTGACTAGTTTCTTGCCCTCCTAAGACACAGACTTTGGTCTAGATGTGCCCCTAATCCTGTGAGTTGAGTAATATAATGAAGTTTGATTCTGAGAGAACAAAGCTTGGAGAGAGATGAAGAGACATTCAGGAATCCAGGACACCATGTAATAGCTGAATAGGGTCCCAGATCCCATTACTGATCCCAGTGAAGGTGGAATGTCTTATAGGACCACTTAAGTCATGTTATGATAGATGTTACAAGTGTGAATTAAAATGCCTACACATTTTCAGATTTGCTTTGTCGGCCATGGACATGGAACAACGAGACTACGACTCTAGAACAGCACTCCATGTAGCTGCGGCAGAAGGTAATGTATGAATCTCTCATCTGTGTGTTGTTTCCAGGCTTCATTTCCACCCTGTACTAAAATCTGCCTGTTGTGTTTTGGATATAGGTCATGTTGAAGTTGTTAAATTTTTGCTGGAAGCCTGCAAAGTCAATCCTTTCCCCAAGGACAGGTGAGCACTCAGGTTCTCTTCTAAAATAGAACTGACCAGTCAGCATTTTATTATACTGGGCTGACATTTAAATTATCCTCTGCATTTGAGACGCTTTCCTATTTTTAATTTATTTTTGGTTTGGGGCCACACCACGTAGTGCTCAGGACTTACTATTCACTGTGCTCAGAGCTAACGCCAGATATGTGATGCCAGGGATCGAACTTGGGTCAACCACAAGCAAGGCAAGCACCTTACCCACTGGACTATCTCTCCAGCCCCAGGAGACATTTTCAACTTGTTATGGTGTCTTATAAAGGCATCAAACCTTGTTCCTACTTGTATTTGCTATATCAGTCTCTCTCATACCCTATTTCTTATATAAGAAATGTTCCACAGTTATAATTTTTTTAGGTCAGCTGGACAGTTGCTATACCATACGTTAAAAACAATTATTTGGAAGGAAAATACAGGAACGGTGTCCTTAAGTGGCTTTTCCCTGTACAGGATAGAGAAGCTCACCTCCCACAAAGGCATATTAAAAATGTGTCATCACTATTGTGGAACTCTAAAAGGAATATATAGAAATTCTTGATATTCTGGATTTGGGTGGCGTTTTCAAAGGCTTTGTGGAGGCTGAGTTCTAATCAGTGCTTTTAGCAGATGAGATCTGAAATCAGGGAGGAAGGACACTTTACCTGTAGTGCGAGACATTTGCCCGAAATGTGCTTTGTATCTCCCTTCTGGTCCTCCTAGCAAACTGCCATTATTCTGCAGTAAAAATACTGGCCCGTTGAGTGGCCAGTCTGAGGGAGGATGCAGCTGATGTGTGTACAGCCATATGGATTCATGTACTTGCATGTTATATAACCAGTTATATAACTGGATTTATATAAGTGGATGACTCAGTGAGTGATGAGATATCAAGGTTTAGAAAAACATGCTTGATAGAGAGGTTTAAAATGTAGTCACTGGAATTTGGAATGCATAGGTGAAGACTTCATTCTGGAGCAAATTGATTATTCTCTAGCTTATTAACTATGTTTTGTAAAGCTTATTGTTAAATGAGCAGTTCCGGTTTTATGAATTCAGCTTGAAAGAAATGCAGTTTCAGTATCTGAAAAGTCTTTCTTAACATCGTAACACTTTGGTTTTGTAACTATCTTTAGACTTTGGTTATTCAGTTTTATTCCTGTAATTGTTCAAAGGCATGACTAAAAAAACTTTTACTGGCAACCTACAACCTCATGTAAGGGTGACAATCCTCCCTTTTATCCCCAAATGTTTTGCCCATACCACTTCTTTTTAGAGCAGGAAACTGAAGTGTCCTCCCCTGCCACCCTCACCCTCCACCCCAGCCCACACATGTACCCCATATTTATAATTCCAACCAGACTACTATTTAACACACATTGGAAATGTTTAGTGTGCTGAGTATATATAAGAATTGAAATGGTGTAATTGTCCTAAATTGTGCTCTTTAATAGAGATGTAGAAGGAAACTGGTAATTGTTTTATTCAATTATTCTAGGATTATAAACTAGACTCTTTTCTGTTTCATAGTATGTGTGACCTCAAGATGTAAAACACGCTTCAGTGAATTTTTTCTATAGAGCTGATCTTTCATATTTTTCATAGATCTGTAAATGCACGCATTTAGTTGCAGTTAATGTTCAGGTTTTCCCAAAAGCCAGAAGATTATGTGCTGTTGACAACTGAGGTCCACCACCCAACCTGGTTTAGTGTCACTTGACTCTAGAATAAATGAAATCCAATATGAAAGTCAAAGCAACCTAATTCAGGGAGAGGATGAAGGAGATACTATATAAAGTGTACACTTACCTGCTAAGTATTTTTTAAAGGATGCCCCCATTATGAAGGTCTATGGTTAGGGACAGGGAGAAAGGAATGAAAGAACACCAGCTGGTAGTTCAGAAAGGTGCAGGCTGGGGGTGGGGTGTGAGCCCTGAAGAAGTCACAGAAGCAGAGAGAGAGAGCTGGGAAGAGCGACCTACTACTTATGAATGATGCAAATGATCCGACTCATTTTCTTGGGTTGAGTTTCACTGTTGCTGTCTTCTCTCTCTGAAGGCTAAGTAGTTAATGTAATCACTGTTGGAACACCTTGTTTCTTATTTTTTTAAAAATATTTTTTAGGTGGGCAGGGGGAGGTTCCAGGCTCTTCAGGGAGGGCCTGGGTAGCAACTGGTCCCAGTGATTGTCTGCCATCCAAGCCCCAGTTGAATACAAAGGGTCAGAGATGTGGTTCTGCTCAGGCCACCAGCACTATACCCAATGACACCAGGGGTAGGGGGAGTCCATGGTACCAGGGATCCCTGTACTCCCCCCAGCCCCTCTTACATTTCTTCTTCTCTTTAGCCTTCATCTGTATCACTCCAAATAGCATAGTCCCAGAAACACACTATGGGAGAAGCAATCATTCTTCTGGTTGTTTAATGGCCCGACGAGTCCCTGGACACCCATCCTTACCAGAGGCGAAATGTCAGGTCCTCAAAAGCTGGTCTGGCTCCTCCAGTGCATGTCTGAGTTCTCTGAGCTCATGGTCATGTCAGGTTTCTGAGGTTTAATGTCACTTTGAGTTGACAGTCACATAAACTTCCTCTCTAAAACTAGAGTCACGGAGGTAATCTACCTGAACTCTCCTAGAACATCTCATTTAGAGATCCCCGAACTTTCAATGAAGTTAAGATTCAGGAATATTAGACAGACTATTTTATCTGTCCACATTAGAACACCCCTAGAAGTACTTTGCTATATGAATAAAATCTTTCCATGAATTCCAAATTATAAATCCCTTCCCCCTCCCCCATTAGTTCTGGTGCTTTAAAATGGCTAAATTTGAATGGTCCGTAAGCCAGCATTTAAAATATGAAAATGCCAGATTACCGTCTTTTGTAGAGATCTTAGCAGATGGCCCATTTCATGCTGCGTTCCTTGTTTAGGTGGAATAATACTCCCATGGACGAAGCACTACACTTTGGACACCATGATGTATTTAAAATCCTCCAGGAATACCAAGTCCAGTACACGCCTCAAGGAGATTCCGACGATGGAAAGGAGAACCAAACTGTTCATAAGAATCTTGATGGACTGCTATAATGCTCTCAATCCCAAGATGAAAATCACTTACCGGTTTAATTGTGGAAAATTATTATGAAGAACATGTGTATTTTAATCTGGTAGTGATGTACATATTACAACATTTGTCGTTTCAGTGTTACTGGAGTTTTCTTCATTGTATGCACAGGACAAATCTGATCTCTTTGGGAAAAAATAGAAATAAAACAATCTCCCTCCATAATGTGAGCGAATATTTACCTCGTGCATTGTATAATTTGGTGTAAAAGAAATAGTTACCAATGCTAGCTTAACTGTGTGGTCTTCATGATTCTTGTGTGTTTTGTGAATTTTTCAATTTATGGTGGTGATCTGTTGAAATGCATTTATAAATGAGACTGTGTTGTACAGTCTGTTGAAATGGGTGGAAGCTGCCTTTAGAAGCAAAACAGCGTGATTTTCCTAACGTCAAATAGAGATTTATTTAGTTGGAGTGTTTGAACCTACTTATAGGCACTTCTGATTGTGTTTAAAATGTCTCCCATCACCCTTGCTTCATGACGTGATTCTTTAAAAATTTTAATAGTTAACTACTGTTAGTAGGATAGACCGATTCTGATTAGACATTATCAGGGACTGTGTATAAGCTGTTTTGGTGACCAAAAAAAACATGTGTAAATGTGATGATAATACTTTGGAAAATTTTTCCTTTTTCTCCATCCCCCTTAATCCAGCCTCTCTTCCCAGCGATTTGGTTATCTGCCTCGTTAACTGGCAAAGTGAGTGCTGGTGTACTATGCAGTTCTCATGTTTTCCACAGTAAGTCAGAAAATGTCTCCCGTTTCTGACATACACACTCTGACTCTGCCATTTGTCTCTAGAAGGTCAAGCAGAGAGAAATTACTTCGCTAAGTACAAATTAATCAAATTCCTCAGCCTACAAAAAGGAACAGATTTGTTATTGCAGCTTTTTGAGATAGTTTGTTCCCAGGATGAAGATGAAAATTCCAGAAGTGCTCTAAGCTACCAAAGTTGTTATGATGGCACAGGAGTCACTACAAGTAGCGTATGTTTATAGACCTGTCTTTAAAAGTTTGCATCAAGATACTTCATTGGAGGGACCACTAGATGCTCCAGCTTTCTCCTGATTATAACTTTTGGTAGATTATATAGGTGAATAATAAGACAAAGCCACTTTGTTTTAAAGGAAACTCCTGATTTGTCTTGGGAGACAAATTATACATATACTTTACCCTGAGGTTACCTCAGAGATACAGGGGTATACTAATGAGGATTTCTGATATTACACACACATACACACAGACATCTGAAGCTGTGTTCAGTGAAATGAACAGAATCCTTACCTATAGGAATGTCAGTTATTATGTTCACATAACGAAATGGTATTTTATTTTTTCCTTTTCCATTTGCACACCATTGCTGCTTCCAAACTTTATTATGCTGATAATGGCCTCTGCCCCAGGCTAGTGGCCTCCACCTGTTTCCATTTTTGCTTCCAGTCTAAGTGCTTCAGCCACTACCCTCCTGGACCTAGATAAAACCACATTTGGCTGATCAGTGGCCAGCGCCCCTTAACTGAGCATCTTCCTGTAGGAATCCATTCCCACAGCTGTGCTTCTATGGGAATGTGGACAGAGAATAGGGTGTTCCTGCCCCCGCAGATCTATGGAATCACATAGATAGGTGGTTTTCACAATGCTGCATAGTAACGACAATATCTCCAAAGAGAGAGTGGAGGAAACACTCTTACTGCAACCAACTGCCATAACTTTGTCCAAGTAACAGCTTGCTTTGTGTGACTAGGAAGAAACACTAAGATGGTTCAATTGTGTGGCCTGAAGATTACCAATGCTTCCGAGATTTTTCTCTAATAAAAAGAAGTTCCAACCAGTATTTGGGAACAAAGAGAGTTTTTGTCTTTTCTCAGATCAGAGCTCTTTTGTAAAATCCTTGTGCTTTATTTAAATGTGCCCTTATTTACCCCGGGGTGATTTCTAACTGCATTCTGGTTCCTGCTCTGGCTGTTTGCTTTTGGCTGGTAACAATGGTTAAACATCTGGTTTAAATGCCCGTTGACTGTTGTGAATTACTGCCATTGCTATCTTCCAGAGATCTTTTTGTTTGGCTTTAGGATCGTACATGCTTTTTTTATGTATCATGAGTTTTATATGGTCATATTTATTTAAAGCTTGTATGCACTTGTTTTGCTGGCCTCAGTTTTAATGATCTCATCTTTGGATGTAATCTCCCTCCCCCAACTCCCCCTCAACTGCCCTTCAGCCGCAGAACTGGATTAGCTATCAACCATTTGATGTAGTTGTCTTTCTGACAGGGACTGAATGACCTAATGTTGGATTTAGATTCTTCCTGGGGATTGTACAGTTATGAATGTATTTGCTTCCGGAACTTCCCAAAGTGAATCTAATCTTAAAAACTATTAAGTTGTAAGTATTCTGAATTTGGGAAATATTTATTTTAAATGAAATCAGGTAGTATTGCTTTTTACAGCGTAATAAAAAATACATGTATCACAAAATGTGGAAACAATGCATTTTCTTTTTTAACCAATTTAGGTCTTCTCTTGCATCCTGGGGTTAGGAATGTTGTTGAGCACAGCGACCATGTCTGGTTGGTTCTGATCCACTGCAAATGCCTACAAAGAGCCAGATACTATGCAAATATGAGGTAGGGTTATCCCAATGATTAAAATGAAACTCCTGTAAGGGTTTCATCCTTGAACATAAGGCACATTATCAGTTCCCTAGGAGCTAACAGTGTCTTGTTATAGTGAGGAAGTAGTCACTAAATACTTCAATTACTATTAAATTCATTCCTCATTAGGAGGTGTCCTAACCTTCTTCAATTAGAAGAGGTTGGGGATGAAGCAAGGACTACCACCCAGAGATGTGAATTGGGCCAACCAGAAAAACACAGTGCTTGGTTTATAGGGGTGCTGAAGGATAGTCACTTCCCATAGCAGAAACCTTTGCTACACAAGCTTAGGGTCAGCGGATAATTTTTCTCTCCACAGAAAAGAGCCACGAATGACTCTACAGCTAGTAGAGTCTGCCAGAAACTAATTTGCCTTGCTCATGCCTCCAACAGTGCTAATCAGCATTACTGACATTTTGGAATTGGAAGAGGCATCAGAAAAATCATTTTTATCCCATTCAAGGTTCAATCTCAAACAAGAATCTGTCTTGGTACAGAACTCTTAGTGCCCTGTTGGTTTGTTTCCTACAGTCAATCACTCCATGCCCACTCAGGTAAAAGATCTCTGCTATCTGTATATTAGCAAAGACATTGTCTTTGTGAAGTTTTAAGTAGAAGCATAAATGCAACACTGAGAAATGCCGTAACAGCTGTCATCTGGAGTTACGCACCTGGGTATGGCAGAGAGGAGTGCAAGGGAAAATACTAGACGCCAAAAGTGCAGGGAAAATGAAATTATTCTGGATACATGATCATCTTATTTTTGTGGGATAATTTTTTTTGTTTTTGTTTTGGGCCCACACCTGGTGGTACACAGGGCTTATTCCTGGCTCTGTGCTCAGAATCACTCTAGTTGGGCTCAAGGACCATATGGGATGCAGGAGATCAAACTCAGGTACACTCCATGCAAGGCAAATGCAATACCCACTATAATATCTCTCTGGCCTGTGTGGGGGTAATTTCTAAGGCTGGGTCATCTTTTTAAAATGTATTTCTTTTTCTAATTTTTTTTTAGTGATAAAGCATAATTTACGAGAGTACTGAACTCATTTCTCATTGTAGAAATGATTTGCTGCTATATCAAAGGGCAGTCTTTCTAGTTTCAGTCTCTAACCCACAGAGTAAATGAATGAGTAAATCACAGACCAGAGGGAACTGGGACACAATCCATGAAAAAGGTAGTATTATTAAAAAAGATTTCTGGAAAATGGGCATTTTATAGCTATATAAGGAAATTATATGATTCATTAACATTAGGTAACAAACGGTTTAGGGATGGAAAAATTCAAAAATTAAGTCGATTTTTTGGGGGGGAGGGGGGTTACCTGATAGTGCTAAGAACTTTCTCCTGGCAGTACTGGGAAACCATTTGGTGACAGGGATCGTAGTGATCAAACTGGGGTTGGCTGCATGCAAGGCAAACTCTTTAACCCCTGCAATCACACTCTGGCCCCATGTCAATTCTTCGAAGACCTTATTGTTTTGTTAGTTTCGAGGCCACACCCAGGTGCTCAGTGCTTCTATCTCTGTGCTCAGGGATTACTCTTGGTGAGGCTCAGTGGACCATATGGAGTGCTGGGAATCAAACCCATATCAGCCACATGCAAGGCAAACATTCTACTTGCTGTACTATTGCTCCAGAGCCCTCAACCCCAGTCACTTATTTAAAGGGGCATTAACTAGCATTTTTTTGCCCATGTGTTTGGGACACAACCAGTACTCATGGGTCACCTTGGGGGACCAAGCAGTATTACATGCTAAACCTGGACCTCCTGTCTGCAAAGCATATGCTCAACTCTTCATCTATCTCACCAGCCCAAGATCGGGTACTTTTATCTCTGTTCTGGAGCCTGAACTGACTGACTTCAGGCCTTCATGGACCCTAGCTTTGTTAATGGGACATGTACTAGGAAGCAAGTCCAGTAACAGTCATAATGGAAAAAAAAAACTAGTAAGACTACTTCATTCAAGTATAAAAGTGGGGAAAGATGATAAAAGATACCACGGTAGAGTACTAAAGTGGTATAATGCCAATATGTAATATGGGACTAGTATACTTTTATAATAGGTACTAGATAGTTTTCTACCTTTCAGGTACCTTTAGATTATTTGTATACCAAATATAAATGTAATAAATTGATAGCTGCCTCTCTTTTTTCCCCCTCCAGTTGGTCGAGTAAGATATTTAACTTTTCAGAATAACACATAACTAATGTATAACTTGTCATTAGAAAGGAAGCTGAAAAATATTTAAGCTACTTAAGAACTATATACACCCAAGAGGTTAAGAAAATAATACTATCTTTAACTTTCCTATAACAACTTTAAGTGCCATTTCCTTAAAAGTGTACAGTTTTATATAAAATTTAGATTTTTTTATAGCTTTTGGCTATGTTTATTTCACAAACTCTTGCTTTCATGAGCAGGGTAATGGTCCATATCTTGGAATATCTTGAAGTTCCTAAAGCATAGGGACCTTTGCTTAAGTTTTTCAAAGCTCAAAAATAATGACTGGCTCATTGCTGGTGCTCAGTATTTTTAATGAATATGTGGATTTGAACTAACCAAAAGGAGTTGCTGAAGTACCTTTGGGAATAGAATCCTAATTCTTAAATATAGGTACTAGCACTTTAAAAACAAGTTCTAACTTTTTCTTGTCTCTAGGATAGAAAGATGGAATACTTTGTTTATTAAGATATATTTTCATTTTCCACTTTGGCTTACAGACAATGAACAAATTTTCACTTAATGCAGGAGAAGGGAACACCCAACCTGTGGGCAATGTAAAGCCCACAAAATCATGTGGTCTGAAGGGACAGACCTGTGTTGTATGACCCATGAACGATATTATAAGTATCCGAAGGGCTGTTGGCAGAAAAATATGACTCCCCCCTCCCCGATGCTTAATGCATTTCAGAAAACATTTTCTATGATAATAAAATTGCCCCAAATAGTACAATATAAGCTTTTTGCTAATAGACTGCTCTACAAATACTGGTAAGATATCCCTAAATCAGGATTATTTAGTGCCTTTTGATAATGATTATTAATACTGGAATATAAATTTATCCTGAGTAGAGAGGTCTTTATCCACTTTACTCCTGGGGAATACAGTCTTTAGGGTGTGTTTTACTTTATTTCCTAAAATGTAAATATAGATATGGAGAAATATTCTCATTTGTTAGAATTTCAGAATATGAGTCTATTTCACTGTTTCCTGATGACTCTTCAAACAGTCATTAAGTCTAACTTTCCAGATTATGTCTAATTTGGTGATTCTTACCCAATTTTTCCCCCAGTACACAGTGACCTCTCTCTAAGAAGCTCAAGGCTTTCTGGCTTGTGACATCTTTAGAGAAAACTGGCACCTTTTTTTTCTGGTGTGGGTGCAATAACTTCCCAGTAATAGCACATCTAATGATGGAGGTGTTTTAAATGACTGCTGTGAAAGCCAGAAAGAGTACCATCTTATGTGAATTTGAAAACTAAAATATTTCACTAGGAAGAACAAAATTTATGTTAAAGTAGGTGTCAATGCCCTGGTGCATTTGGAAGCTTCTGCCCATAACCAAGACAAAAAAATATTTTTTTGTTCATGGCACCCAATACAGCGTGTCATTTAAATTTCCACTCTGATCTCTTCTGTGAACTGACACTGCCATAGCAAGTCTATTGCAAGCAGGTAACAATGGCAGCATTAAGGGAAATGATGCCATTCATCTTTCTTTCAAATAAGAACTGATATTTCTATGTTTAATCAAGGAGGGGAAAAGGTGAAATGTCAAATCTATATATAATGCTGGTAATTTAAGGTCTTTGCCTCCATGCTACTGATAAAATACTAATGTTAGAATTTTAATACTAAAGTTTCTAGGCTATGACAGTAAACTGAAATCATGCTAAACCACTCTCTGTGGTAAAAACCAGATGAAATAGTTAAATGATAGCAATTACAATTTTTTTTAAATGATATTCTTTGTTTCTTCACCATTTCAGTTTACAAAGTCAATGTGACTCCAGTCAGGATCACGTCAACTGATGTGAAAACTGAGCAGAGGCTTTAATGTGTGTTCAGTACCAAGGAAGTGCCCCATGCATGTCCAATTATATTTAACGCAATAGACAGACATACATATGTACATATATATATATATATGCTTAAAATAGACTTCAAGAAAACATTATCCCCCACCAATGAAAAACAAGGCGCTTTTCTAATAATATAATTGTGGTAGTGATAGTCAAAAAGTAAGACACAGATACACAACAGTTTATGAAAATTATATGGAAGAATCTTTCAAACATGTCCTCCTAAACCACTTTTTAATGTGTCTGAAGGTTAGTAACACAATACACTTCTCAAAAAGCAGTCAAAATGAAGTTTAGAAAAGGCACAATAGAGATAAATGGACCATTTCAAGTGTATTTGTATTTGTCAGAAAACCACATTAGTGAAAAACACGTAATTCACAGTGTAGTTACACAGGACAAATTTTCAAATTATTTGTAATATTCAGATTAAATGATCTGTCAGGGAACATTTTTTCTAAATTTGAAAACTTTCTGAGCAACTGAACACTAGCTAATAATTATAAGACAAATTAACAAGAAGAAATTTGACTGTCCACATCCATGGATAATTTTAACTCTGGGAATATAGCTGGATTTGCTTCCAGAGATACTGTTGACAGTCATGAAGACAATTTCATTTACAGGTGACCATGCAGAAGATAAATAGAACATATTTACCTCTGAATATTAAAGTTTAAACAACAGTCATATATTTGGAAGTACACTTACTTCCTTCTCTTGATATTAGCCAGTATCCTCAAGCTACTATAAACAGACAACCTTTTTCTTCCTAGAAATACAGAATTTTCCTTTTGCTTTAAATAGAAACATGTAATAAAATAAGCCAAATTTCATCGGCTGCCCAGATGCAGGACAGCTACATTTGATAGAAGGAAGCTATAAAGTCAGTATAGTTCTGAACTCTTTCATTGATGGGCCACTGGGAAGCTTTTAGCCACACATAAAGCAGAGAAAACAAGAAATCTCCTGAGCAGAAATGTGTCGTTCCTACATCAAAAAGTTCCCTAAATAACCATGTGACCTATCCAACCACCTTTAACTGGTGGACACTAGCTTCTGCTCAGCATTTTCTAGACGCTGCTAAATATCCACCTTCCCAAAGCAGTCTCACTAGAGTTCTTGTGCTTTGGGCATTTGCAAAACCCACACTGTGGAGAAGGCTTCCACTTTTACCTTGAATGAGACGCATGAAGCCCTTCAGAGTTTCTGAATTAGGGGAAAATCCACTTGCTATCACAGCTTGCAGCAAATTTGTTGGAATTTCTTTCATTTCCCTAGAAACACAGGATGTGAAGGAACAGAGTAGCAGGAAATCACAAATGGGAACAGGGGAAATTTGGCCGAGAAGATGAGGAAGATTCCTGGTCTAGACTCCACTCATCTGTAAAAAGATAAAATGCAGGTAAGTGGATTACACAGATTGCACGACACGCAAACTCACTAGTTAAGGTGTCTGCTCTGCACCAGAGCAGCAGGAAATCACCATGGACTGAGGGGGCCATTAGCACATGTTGGCTTTTCCCTGGGTTAATGGAGGCCTTTCCTGTCCCCTAAGCTGACAGATTATGGCTCTGCAGCAGCAGGCAGAGATCTGTGAGTTCATCCAGGCTTAGACTGCATAAAGCTTTTTGCTATTAAGCAACATGACAAATGTGCTCATGCAAACAAGGGTGAGGCAAAGCCAAGCTTATACTGGTGAAGAGGGATGGGGATGTGGGGAGAGGCACTGCTGTAAAGGCCACTTGTTCAGAATAATAGTGAACATGATTCAGGAACAGGAAGAGAATGGATTCATCCAGAACCCCACCATGCTCTCCCCTGTCCCAACCACCTGGAATGCAGCAGCCTGAAGGCAGTGAATGGCTCATCCGAAGAGCAACAGACCACCCCAATTTGTCTCCCTACAGACTGAGCTTCCCCCTCAAGTCAGAGGCTCTCAACTGGGGATGACACTGGTCCCCCCAAATGTCTGAAGACCTGACTGTGGGGGTACCTGTGCTCCTGGCAGCTAGTGGGCTGAAGCTGGGTAAGGTGCTGAAAAACCTCCATACACCAGGTCAGGGCACCAGAACAGAGGACAATGCGCTCGCCAAAGTGATAGAAACTCAGCAGACTCAAAACTTCTTGAAAATTGAGTGCATTGCTTCCCCCCCCTTTTCTTTTGGGTACCAGGCTACCCATGGCATATTTGATATGCCAAAAACAGTAACAACAAGTCTCACTTCGTGATCCTGGAGTGATTAGATGCCTTTGGGCTACACTAGCACACGACAGGGACAAATGGAGATGTTACTGGTGCCTGCTCAAGCAAATTGATGAACAATGGGATGACAGTGCTATGGTGCTATAGTGCTACCAAGTAATCAATAGTGGTGGTTACCTACTGGGCTGTTGGAAAAGCTTTTTTTTTTTTTTGCTTTTTGGGTGACACCCTGGTTTGTGCACTCAGGAATTACTCCTGGCGGTGCTCGGGGGACCATATGGGATGCTGGGAATGGAACCCCAGTTGAGTGCAAGACAAACGCCTTACCTGCAGTGCTACTGCTCCAGGACCCAGGAAAAGCATTTTGCATTAAAAAGCACAAAGAACGTTTTGTTCTCTTTCAACCTACCTCAGTAAAAATGTGTAGCAAGAGGCCAGAGAGATAGTACAATTGTCAAAGCACTTGCCTAAGGACCTGGTTTGAATCCCAGCACCAAATACAGTCCCCCAAGCACCATCAAGCATGACCCCTGAGCACAGAGCCAGGTGTACCTCTGAGCACCACCAGGTAAGGTTCCCATCACCCACATCTGTTGTCAGCATGGCAGGCTTTGAAAAGAGAGGAGAGGGTGATGTGTGAGAGAGGGAGATGGAAGGAGAGGAAAGGGAAAAGAAGTACAGGCAGGGGCTGAGCCAGACTGAAACAGACCTGGATTCAAATCTTGTCCCTGTCACTTGGTTGTGTGGCCACAGCATACTAATCAGCTTCTCTAAATCCCCAGGTCCTCACCTATTCAGAGGAACTAGTCTTCGTGAACAGATTTGTAGAAAGAATTAAATCTGTATATGCAAAAATGCCTGCGATGAAAAAGCACAAAATAAATGTTCCTTTTACTATTACCAACTTTCATTCTAGGCCTCTCAGAGTAGACTGGTTCTTGTGTAGTCACAGAGGAAAAGTTTATGAGACAAGAAATCCAGACTAAACAAATACTCAAGTTGTCCTGCAGAAGACACAGGTGCTTTGTGTCTTTGCTGGACAATTTCCTCAGGAGCCTGAGGTCCTTCTGCTGCTGGGACCAGCCTCAGCCCAGTGCTGTACTGGTACAGAGCTATGGAAACTGGCCAGCTCTGTGCCTTTATTTTACTTCAGTGCACAGGCGCTTATTCCAAGAGCGGGTACGGAATGGAAATCATGACCAAGGCTGAGGATAAACAAGTTGAAACAGACAAGGTCGAACCCACCCAATCTGGAGACTAATCCCAAAGCCTAACTCTTTTGCCTAACCAGAACTGTGCCCATATTATAACTTAGCGCTCGGAGTCTGCTGTGGTTTAATCTAGAGAGGGGGCTCTGTGTGTGTGTGTGTGTGTGTGTGTGTGTGTGTGCACGCGCACACACACACGCGCGCGCATGTATGTGTATGTCTGTGTGTGTGTGCGTGTGCACATGTGTGTGTCTGTGTGTGTGTGTGTGTGTGTGTGTGTGTTAGCTGAGCTGTAGAAAAGTCAGTGATTTTTTTTGTTTTTGTTTTGGAGGTAGGAGGCTGGGGCCACATCCAGTGTTGTTAAGGGTTCAGTTACTCCTGGGAGCACTAGGGGTCCTTATGGGAGCAAGGTAGCATCAGATATGTGCAAGCCTTAAACACTGGACTATCTTTCAAGTCCCTTTAATGTATCTTTTGGTTTTGTTTTTCTTTGTGACTTTTTTCGTATAGTGAAGATTTGTGTCTATGATCATACTTGAAAAGTATGACCATATGGAAATTCTTTCATAGCTAACCATCCTTTTAATCAATATACATATATGACAAACAAAACAAAAACACACTGTCCTCCTGTTGTTCATCGATTTGCTCCAGCAGGCCCAATAACGTCTCCATTCTGAGACTTGTTACTGTGTTTGGCATATTGAATATGTCATGGGTAGCTTGTCAGGCTTTGCTGTGTGAGCAAGATACTTTCGGTACCTTGCCGGGCTCCCTGGGAGGGGCAGAGGAATCGAACCCGGCTTGGCCAGGCTGGCTGTGCGCAAAGCAAATGCCCTACCACTGTGCTATCACTCCAGCCCATATATGACAAAAGATGCATTTAAAATTAAATGGGTAGGGGGATTTATGAATGACTTTATAAACATTTTGGAAACAAACAGATGACAATGCATATGGGAAAACTACCCAAATTAAATTCTATCTCATATCTGTAAAAAATATAACTTCTTATGAGGCAAAAATAATTCCATCAACGGCCAAGACTCAGAGACTATAAAAACCAGCTCCCGGAAGAGAAGAGTGCAGTCTCCTGCCCCCGTGCCTGACTGTCCTCGCCGCCAGGGCCCCTTGGAGGGGAGCGGGTTGAGCTTTCCTCCCTGCCCCGACCAGAGCTCCGGCAGCCAAAGACCTCCAGGACCAGCCACCACCATGCTGAGACCACTCTCCGCACACATGAAGGTACTGGTAGAGGGACAAAGTCACGCGGGTTCCGGGCCCAAGATCTCCAAGCCTACTTGGATTTGGGCCGAGTATCCTCCACCAGATCCTCCAAATTCCAGTAGGCGGGGGTCATACCCACCAACTGGCCCCCTGGCACCGTGTAATCCCATCAGTGGCCAAGACTCAGAGACTATAAAAACCAGCTCCCGGAACTGCGCGGCCACATTCGCGGCCACGCGATATCCTATTATGACATCTTATTATCTCATTCCTACTTTGGACAAACTGGCAGGCTACCAAATGTAGCCTGCCCACCCGGCAGAGTCTAGCAAACTCCCCGTGGCATGCCCAATATGCCAAATACCAGTAACAATGATGGGTCTCATTCTCCTAAAGAGCCTTGAATATAATCTCAGGGCTAGGATGAAGGAGACGTTACTGGGGCCTGCTCGAGGCAATTGACGATTAACAGGATGATTTGTGATTTTGTGATTTGTGAGGCAAAAATATTTTTTAAAGCAATTCAAAGATTTAATAAAACTTCAAGATTCATGTGATAAATGACCAAGATGAGTTTTGTTAAGAGTTCACTTTCTTAAAAGGCAAAATCTTGGCTCTCATAGAAATATAAAATAAAAACAAAGATTGCTTTTAACTCATTAGCAATAAATACAATACTAAAGTCACCCCCAGAGTTGAGAAAAAATTAATCTGAGCATCAATTTAGAGACAAAATGAGGTCATAGACTTACTTTCTAGATTATCTATCTTTCCTTTTTGTTTTGTTAGGGGGCTATATCTAGCAGTCATCAGGGATTACTCCTGGCTCTGCACTCAGGAATCACTCCTGGTGGGGACACAGGGGACCATATGAGGTGCCACAGATTGAAACTGAAGCAAGGCAAACACCCTACCTGCTGTACTGTCTCTACATCACCCCCATTGTTATCTCTCTATGGAAGAAAAATGACTTGTATCTCTATCAAAAAAGGAATCATAAGTTAAAATGTTATCCTTACTATATCTGGAGTCTTCTGTCAGTCATGCCGATGAGTGGGACTAAGCAGAGACCTTACATAAGTCAACGGCAATGGTGTTTTTTTTTTCCCCTGTAAGGGTTTTTGAGGCTACACATGGCTGTGCTTAGTGTTTCTGGCTTGACAATTCGGGGTCACCCTTGGAAATGCTCTGGGGATCAAATGTGGTTGTCAGGAATCAAATCCTTTTTGGCTGTGTGCATGACAAGTGCCTTAGTCCCTAAATTATCTGTCCAGCCTGACATTAGTAGTTTTTTTGTCTGTACATGCACAGATAGTATTTTAGCCCTTACAAGTCATAATGTCTTTGCTGTCATGACTTAACTCAGCCATCAGAGCATGAAAGCTAGCTGTGGAAAAAATATTTTTCAATACTGAAAGAACATACTGGGGGTTCGAGAGATGGTACAGCAGATAGGGTGCTTATTATGGCACAAGCCCAACCTGGGTTCAATCCGAGGTACACCGTATGGTCCCTTGATCCCTGCCAGGGATGATCCCTAAACACAAAGCCAGCAGCAGTAAGCCCTGAGCACTGCTGATAAAGAAGCATACTGGAGTGATGCACTAAAAAGTCTTATTTACACAAATAGGCAGAGGGTCTGAGGTGATGCACAGGCAGAAGTTTAGAATACCCCGTAACAGATAATTCTTGGGTGTCCTTCGCCCCCTTAGGATACTGAACCTTTTCCCCTCATTCCTGTAAACTTGCAATGTGTTTTACAAACGTGCATGAGGATAGAGAAAAGGTTTCCTTATTCTAGTCATGAAATGAATAAAATCATCTGGAAAGGGATAGTTGAGAGCACGGGGGATATATCCAAAGACCACAAACCCATTTCCTGGCCCCTGTGTAGATTGCACTCACAGCACTTTCTAAGAGCACCAAGCAGGCTCACAGTGCTTGCACAGACAGGGGAATTCATCCACCTTATTTTTCCAAGATCATGGGAATTAGTGGTGATGACAGAGTTAAGACCTCCCATTTCCCAATTCCAAACACTGGCCTGTCACCCCAAAGCCACGCTGTCTTTTTAATAACAAAGTAGAATACTCAAGTTTAAAGCAAACAGCAAGTCTTGGGAGCATGTTTTGATAATACACGGACAAGCTTTTTGTGGGAAGTCTTCCAAGAGAGCGGCTGGGGGATGCCCTTGAGGCAACCATTGGGTTCAAATATTCTTCTCTGTTGTTGTTTTTGGGTCACACCCACTGATGCTCAGGGCTTACTCCCGACCCTGCGTTCAGTGATCACTCCTAGTGGGTTGGGGCACCATATGGGGTGGCCGGGATCAACTTGAGTTGGCTGATGGCTAGGCAAGTGCCTTACACACTGTACTATAGTGCTAGCATACCCTTTGTATTATTGCTCTGTATGGGTTCAAATATTCTTTCCACCATTTATTAATGGCTTGATTATAAGTCAAATCATGTCATTTGGGGAAAGAGAGCTCTTCCAGATCTATAAAAATGGGAAAGTCAATAATACCTAGCTGAGAAGGGTGCTGGAAAATTCAAGCAAGCTATTACCTTGTGACATTCCTGGTGCCCAGCAAGCATTTCCGAAGTGCCACTAAATATGGGGTCAATGATTATCATGCTGACATAGAGCCACTTGCTCAGAAATAACAAAGGTGGTGTGGAAAGGCCTTACTCTATTTTGAAGCTCACATGATCTGTACAGCCTTCTCCAGTCAGCTGTAACTGTGCCAAGTTTATGAAGCAAGTCTGTATAGCTGGGAGCTATGAACAGTGAACAACTTTGTGGTCACGTATTTCACCGGTGACTATATACCTATGAAAGGTTCATTTCACATGTGCCAATAGAAAAAAAACTATTTTGCTATTACTTAGTCTAAGCTCTTTCCTAACTGACTTATCTTCTACGTCACATTCAGAAAGGAGTAAGAAGTGATTTCTAAAGACGCCAGTCCACGGCTGTTCCAGGTTAGGAAACAGGGTGAAGAAAATCCTCACACACCAGAAAATTGAAATTCAGCAGGTTGTAACTCCTGCCATCGAAGCATCTTCCTGAGCACAGGAATGTCCTTTCCTCTCTACCCCTTCCTCTCCCCTCCCTCCTCTTCCCCTTCTTCCTCTTCCCCTCCCTCCCCCTCCCCTCCCCTCCTCCCTCATCACCAGCTCACTGTGTGCCAGACACCAGGCACATGGCGAAGAAAGGCCAGTTATGACTCAGAGAAGTTTTTTTCAAAAGCAGTTATGACTCAGAGAAGTTTTTTTCAAAAAAGCATTCAACAAAATTATAAAATGTAACTAGAATAGCTTTGTGTAGAAAAGAGCTTAAAATCAGATGGCCTAGGGGAGAAAAATGGAAGCAACCAAAAGAGAACACATTTAACACAAAGGATTTCTGACTGACAGGCAGGCAAGACTATCTGACATACCTACACAAGGCATCCTCTCAAAGGAAGGTTCCTCATCCTCTCGGGACACTCGTGAGCTGTTTCACTCACTCAGGACCAGTCTGCCACAGCTCCGGGTGCGGGTACCAGCAGTACAAATCCATTCACACACAGAAAGGCAGAGCCATTGACTTGCTGCCACTGGCTGGCAGCATGTAATTACTGTAACTACGGGGGAACATGAGCCCTTTTCCCTTCCTAAAAATAACATTTCTTCATCCAGACATGGTGCTGAAATAACATGGCAAAGGGAAGCATTTTCCAAGCGGAGGAATCTGAATTCCTTAACAGACAGACAATGGATGTACTATCCCTTGACATGACAAGCAACTTCAAAGGGCAGAGGGGGCTGGGATGGGGGTGGGTGTGGGGGGAGTTGGTCAGCATTTCAAATAGCAGGAACGCAAATCCTCACAGGCTGCACTCAAACCCCTTTCCCTGTCTCTGCAAGCCTGGGGTCTGACCCGAAGCTCACACTGAACAGCTGAGCGGGAACAACACCCCCCCACACCCGACACACACACACACACACACACACACACACACACACACTCACCATGTCAAACTCCACCCTGCCTACCATCCGGGACACCTCGTCAAAATCCTCGGGAGACATGGGGAGAAGGTTGTCCGTGTTCTGAAGCCGAGAAGGGTGACTGCAATGAGGAGAAAGAAAAAGGGAGCATCAGTCACTAGATCCCACAAGCCAGGGTACAGATTGGGACCCGCGGTGTCATGGTCGCCTCTCACCACAGATCCAAGTGGGCACTTGTAAGATACCCAGGAAAAGTAGAGGTCCCGGGAGGTTACAGAGGTTCCTTTGAGTCCCCAGCCCGGTCCCTTGGGAATAGACTCCAGACACCTGATGAGGGACACCCCAGGGCCCTGTGTCTCTTCTGCTTGGGTGGCAGGGTCGCCTTGGGTGACCAGGCCTCGGGGCATACCCCTGACCAGAAGCACCACAGGAATCTGGGGAGTCCCTCCCTCATCCCTACCTTGAGGTTTGTATGCAGATAAAGCTGCTCCAGAGTGGTTTTACATGAAGGCTACATCCATTCACCCCAAGACACTGCTGCAGGCCAAATAACTGACAATGACTTTTCCAATTATTTTTCTACCTTTTATGAAATGAAACAACAAAATAAAAGCAAGCAGAAAAAAAATGTATCTCCATCATTACTTTGGCCTTGTCTCCATTGAAAAGAACTACTTGCCCACTCTGATAAATTTTTGTTCATTTTATTTACACTTTTTCAAAGTATCAACTTGGGGAGAACTTATATTCATTCCTTAAATACAAGTCTGGGGGACTTGGGGGTTTGAGGGGAGTTCTTTCTTATAAAGGCAATAAAATGCCTTTTCAACAAGTTCCATTGGGATGGCAGCAATGACAATGAATAAGAAACATATGAGACTCTTCAACAGTCCCCAGCCTCGGGCAGGCTGGCATGAGGAGTTTACACATGGCACTCTTCTGTGTTCACTTACACTTCAGACACAGAAATCAACTCGGTCTTGATATATCCTGTTCCTTTAGGGCCATCAAGTTCCATTGGTTCTGGGGCTGAAAGCAAACACATTGTGTCCTCTTAGCAGAAATGAACACAACCACAATTTTCTCTTTAACCAACACTTAAAGTTCTCCTGCACAGCCACATTAGGAGAGTTTTGTCATATTCGGGAGTTCCAAAGCTCCCTGCGCGGGCCACCAGAAACCCTAGTGGAAGGTATAGAAACAGCTGGGAAAAAAGATGCAGAAGTCAAGCTGAGAGGTTTCTCCTTCCCAAGGCTTCAACGTCTCAGAAATCAGAGTCCCACTTGTGCAAGTTTTCTCTGCTCCAGTGGCCCTTGCTGGTTGGTGCAGTACACATGGCCGTCGAGGCCAAATGGAGGAGGTTTCTCCCCAAAGTGCCTGTGCTAAGACTGAGATTTCTGACTCAGAATTGTGGGTGCTGGTGTGCTCTGAATCACCAAGTTCAGCTAAACTCAACTCTTTCAAATGCAGTCAGGAGGAAGGAGGTATGGGAGATGGAATTCTAAGGTAGGCCTGCTCTTCACGAGAATTTCTCAGAACAGTGTGATCCAAGCATTAAATGGGTCACTTCTCTTGAGCATCAATTTCTTCATTTGGGGGAAGAAGGGTGGGGACACACCTGGCAGTGATCAACAGCTACTCTCTGGTGGCTCAGGGGACCATGTGGTACTAGGGATGAAACCTGGGGCTCCTGCTGGCAAAGCAAGTTCTCTCTCTCTCTCTCTCTCTCTCTCTCTCTCTCTCTCTCTCTCTCTCGGGACCATGTGGTACTAGGGATGAAACCTGGGGCTCCTGCTGGCAAAGCAAGTTCTCTCTCTCTCTCTCTCTCTCTCTCTCTCTCTCTCTCTCTCTGTCTCAGTTTCTTCATTTTAACACTGAAAGACTGGCAAAACTCAGTTGGCCAGAGCAGTCCCACATTTACCCCTTCCCAAGTGAAAAAAGATAAGCCATTTTACAAGAACACAAGACCTGCAATGAGCTTTTCAAAAAAAAAAAAACCTTTTTTCTTCATCTCCCAAATAAGAAAAGATTTTACTAGATGTGTCACAATCAAAAGAATGCATTATTTCAAACTTCTCCATATTTACCCCATTTTGGAAAGCCCACTTTAAAAAAAAAACAACAAACACTTGGTGGGGAAGGAGAGAGTGTCTGGGTCACACTTGGCAGTGCTCAGGGCTTATTCCAGTCTCTCTAGTGAGGAATCACGCCTGTCAGTGCGCAGGGAACCGTATGTGATGCTCGGGACAGAATCCGGGGTTGCTATATGCATGGCAAGTGTCTTACCCGCTGTTCTATCTCTTGGGCCAGGAAAGACTTCTTTCATGAATAATAATAATAAAAAAAAAGCAACAGACTAACAACTTTCTAGAGAAAGAAGAATGAGCAAGGCAAGCATGTATGCAGGGATGCTTGTAGACCTAACTACCAGTTCATCTAAACAAGTAATTTAATTTGTTGTTTGGGGGCCACAACCAAAAAAAAAAAACTCATAGAGGGAAATTAAGCTGGGACATGTGTCCACAAGGGGCAGGTGTGTGACTGACTCTGCCTCTGCGAAATCTCTGGCTTATGATGGTGCCGAGACCCCAATTCCCCGGAGCAGCCTCGCTGTGCCCCATCCGCCCGGACAGTGACTGGTTGCCCTTCCCACTTACCTTCCTTTGGCCTGGAGTAATACTTTCCAAAGGCATGGTCTTTATCAATGTTTGGGTACAGATACTTCAGAGGATTCTCCGGAATATTTTCGGCGGCCATGACTTTGTAATTGCGGATAATATCAGGGAAAGTAACAGCAGAAAGTTCTTTCTTCGTGTAGGGTTCAACAGCATGGAAGTAAGGTTCTGCAAAGAAGAGTAGCAAAGTGAGTCCCAGGTAACTGTCAATACTGCTGAGACTGCAGATCTGAGGCGACTTGGTAAGAATGAGTCATACTGAGGACATGCACATGGCTGAACCACATTTTCTCTAGTAACCCTGGAGGCCCCCTGCAGGCATGATCCTGGTGGTCTTTGGCACCTCACGCTCCAAATAGCATCAGATTCATGGCCCCCAGAATCAATGAGGGCCTGAGGGGTCAGGAATAGCCTGGGCACTACTTGGGAGGCCCCATCCATTAAAAATACAACAAACAAACAAACAAACAAACAAACACAATCCCCAAATATCCATCCAACCAGGAACACTACAGGCTGTCATCAGTTGCAGTAATACTGTATTGGCCACTATTTGTTTAGCTTTGTAAATCTGGTCAACAGGGTTTACCAACCACCATGAAAAGCCTGGCTCTTCAATGATGTGCTAATCACAGGCAGATAAATGATCACTCACCCTGGGCTGTAGATACCTGAGGTGTACATTGAGTTACTGTAAGATAAACTCTTCAGCTTTTTTTTTTAATATTAAATATAATTGTTGTTGCTGTTCTGGGGACAAACCCAGCCTTATTTGAGGCTTACCCCTGGCTCTATGCTAAGGGATCATTCCTAACAGTGCTCAGGGACCATATGGGGTTGCAGGGATCAAATCTGAGTGGGCTGTATGCCAAGCAAAATAAAACCCTGCTGTACTATCTCTCTGCCCCGAAAAATATAATTTTTTAAAAAAATAAAAGATATTTCAGAGAATTTTCCAAGCCCCTCTCCCTAAAAAAGGTCATATTTTTTTATGTTTTCCTCAAATCCATCCTGTAACGAACCAGATTAATTCATTTCTGCTAATTCCCAGATGTAATTCAAATACCACTTTTTTTTTTTTGGTCTTAGGCTCTAGGGCTTACTCCTAGCTCTGCACTCACAGATCACTCCTGGGGGGCTCGGGGGACCATATGCAGTGCTGTGGATCGAACCTAGGTCAGGTGAGTACAAGGCAAACACCCTACCCACTGTGCAATTGGTAGGGCCTTCAAATCCCACTTCTTAAGTGATCTAGTTCCTGGCTGGATACAAAAACTCTGATTCCTCTAGAACCCAGACCATGTGGCATCTGAAAATTAGGGAGCTGCTGCTGCTAGAACTTTCAGCTTCCAAGTAGTTTCTTCTCCTTTGCCTGGTCTGCCAGCCCCATCTCACAGCGAGCTCCAGAAAGAGTAGCCAGCATAAGAACGGGAAGGGTGGGCTCCTCACCGCCATGGGCGGCCTAACCAGTCTAATCCCAGTGCTCCAGTTTTTGTTTGTTGTTTTTTTTTGTTTTTGTTATTTTATTTTTAACTTTTTATAAAGTTGTTCATGATGATTTATTACATGTAATATTCCAACACCAATCCCACCACCATTGTACCTTCCCACTACCGTTATTTCCAATTTCCCAGCCACCACCCAAGCTTGCTTCAATGTGCTCCAGTTTTTTATCTGGAGAAAATGAAAAGCAGAGGGAAATGGTCTATCCAGCTTCACCTTTTCACTAAAAGAGTATTTTCCTTGAAGGAGCTGTGGATTCGACCTGAGCAGAGAGAGTGGACACTTAGCCTGTGTAAGCCCCTAGACCAGATCTCCAACACTACATGGCTCTGACCCCTGAGTGGCCCCCTTATAAAAACAAAAACTAAAAGAGGGGATTGGTGGATATCCCTCAGCGGTAGATTATTTGTCCATGCACACGAGGCTCTGGGTTCCACCCACAGCAGCAACAACGAGAACTGAATCAGGACAAGGGTGACTATACAATGGTGAGGGAAGATGTGTCAGCCAGCACTGGACACTTAGCCTCCCGGCACTGCTAGGATGACCCTGGCAGCCCCTGGGCCACAGGGCTGAGCAGCTCTGCATCCTCAGGTCCCAGCACAGAACCTCCAGTCTGGGTGACAGCATACTGCCTGGAGTTTCCCCGAAAATGAACAGACTAAAATTAGTAAATAATAATAAAGATGAAAGGGCAAAAGCCACAGGAACTAATCAATTTTTTTTCTCCCACTTCTTTCAACAGAGCAAACAACAAGTAGCAGTGAAAAGTCACCAGCTTCTCTTTTTATCATTTTTCTCATCTCTGCGGCTCCACCTGATCTTTCCCAAGAGCTCTTGTTCACAGTGCCAAGGTTTTGGGGGGGTTGTTTTAGCTACAGGATCTCTCGGTTCATTAGACACTCCAAGGGATTAGAAAGATAGGCTTGCAATAGCCATGTTTTACTTTTTTTTGTCTTGCTTTTTTTGTTTGTTCTTTTCTGCTTTTTGTTGGGAGGGGGACACTCTGGGCAGTGCTCAGGGCTCATTGCTGGCTCTGCTACTCAGGGATCACACCTGGGGGACTCAGGGGATCATATAGGGTGCTAGGGAATGAAGCTGGCTGGGCCATATGCAAAGCAAGCACCCTATTTGCGGTACTTTGACTGGGTCACCAACTACTACCACATTTGAAGGGACAGCAGATGGCTGCATCCTGTTCCCCAGGGCCCCCTTGGATTTCCCCACCCCACACGCACTCCCTTGTGGATCATTTGTGAGCCTTCATTAAGGGGGCCTCCCCAAGTCAGTGGCCAGTCACACATATCTCATCACTATGGACAGATAACAAGTCTGACAGGGCCAGCCTGTTCTTCCGAACGCAGTGCCAGAGAAAAACCAAGGTCTTTCCCATGCCAAGTGTGGGCTCCTGCCCCTTGGACAATCGCCTCAAACCTCATGGGCTTTGCTTTTAAAAAATATCATTTCCACAGTTACAGGAAAGTGGTCACAATATTCATGGGGTCATAGCAGAGTCCACCTGGGCACTTCCATCCATGGGAGGGTAAGAGTAGTATCTGCAATTTTACGTCAGGAACTTTTTTTTTTACATCTACAGAGATTTCCTGTTTGAGTTTCAGTCATACAATGATCAAACACTCGTCCCTCTACCAGTGCACATTTTCCACCACCAACGTCCCCAGAATCCCTCTCCCACCCATCTCACCTCTCCCCCTCCTCTATGGCAGACAATTTCTTTCTTACTCTCTCTCTCTCTACTTATGGGCATTATGATTTGCAGTACAGATACTGAGAGGCCATCACGTTTGGTCTTTTATATACTTTCAGCACACACCTCCCATCCCAAGCGATACTTCCAACCATCATTGTTATGTCAGATACTTGTTCTCTATGGGAGTACTGTGTTTCATAGCTTAATTATTATAGATTTTAGGAAAATTGTTTTGCAAAAAAAAAAAATCTTGTGTCAGGGCCAGAGAGACAATACAGGAGGAAAGGCACTTGCACTACTGATGGCTACATCAACTGCAACCCTCGTTTGATCCCCAGCAAAACATAAAATCCCTTGTGGACCACCAGGGGTCACTCCCTGGTGGCCAGTCACACATATCTCATCAAAAAGTGGTGAGAACCAAAATAGATCCAAGCACAGCTAAAGGTGTGGCCCAACAGCTCCAAACCTTCCCTGCTCAAAAAAACAAAAGGGAGGTGGGTGACCATCATATAAAGCTTTTAATGAAAATGAGCTGGTATTTCTTTGGAAAAACCTCTTATAAAGGACCCAGAGCAACAGAACATCGGGTAAAGTGCTTGCTTTGCACGCAGAGGACTTGAGCTTGATCCCCAGCATCCGATAGGGTGCCCTGACCCTGCCAGGAGTGATCCTTGAGAGCACAGCCAGTTCTGAACTCACCTCGGTGTGTTCTCTAAAGAACAAACCCAAACAAACAACAAGAACAACTGACTACTCGACTGTCTTTAGTGCAACATGTGGGTGCACAATACTACTTGAGTATGGAGTATGTGTTAAAATCTGCCTTGAAAGGGACTCTCTCATTCAGCATAAACAGGCATGCGGGGGTCTGGGCTTACCGCCTCCATTCTGCGAACGCTCCACCCACGTGAAGGTGATGGCCCCTTCCCGGCAGCTCTCGCTGAAGCGCAGCAGAAAGGTCCCGGGCTGCTGGTCCTTGAGCAGGGCGCGCTCGCCCTCCTTGCTGATAAAGCCCACGATCCACCTGCCCGGAAAAGGGAATCAAGAGTCCTCTGAGGCTCACTTATGGTTCTGATCTCTACGTGAACTGATAAATCAGAATGGCTGCAACACGGTGAGAATGGAAGATTAAAATGTCAGACGAGGGTGGGGAGGGGATATGGGAACGCTGGGGGAGGGAAGGAGACACTGGTGGTGGGATTGGTGTTGTCATATTATATGCCTAAAACTCAACTATCAACAACTCTCTAAATCACAATTCTTTAATTAAGTCTTAAAAATTTTAAAAAATGTCCAGACTACTTTAGATGCTTTGTGATCTCTTTAATCGGTGCTTACAAAGGCATTTCACTAAGACATATGCTGAAGCCAACAGAATCACAAACACAGTGCCAGCATGCTTCAACAGATGATCAATAAATACCGTGTAAATAACTAAACTCTCTATTTCCACTTGTTGACCTTAAAGGCCATGAAATGTCTGAATTTATGCATCTTCTATAGTGGAGTGGGAGGCCCAGTCAACAGAGTTTTATTGTGGAGCCTCTTAGTTGAATTAGCAACTGGCCCTGTGACTAAGAAACAAGTTTCAAAGTAAAAAAGGTTTGATCTTTTTTCCTTGGGATTGCTCAAGAAATTCTGGTAAAATGAATAAAATAAATCATCATGGCACTTAAGGTTTTCTTGGGGAGTGGAGCGGGGGGAGGTGGTTTCCTTTTCTAATTTATCTCTGAGGACAGGGACACTATGAAAAATGTAGTCTTCAAAGGTTCCACTGTCAACAGTCTTGCAGGGACAGACTCTGTGTGGTAGACACGTCAATGAAATTCAGATCAGACCTAGCTCAGCTTCACGGTGAGAGAGTGTGCGCTCAAAACATATTTCAAAAAATAGATCAAGAAGGGCCTTTACCCATCGTTCCAGAGCGAGAGCAGGTGCTTCTTAATGAGTTCAAGGATGCTTTCGATCCAAAGCCAGAAAGAAAAGTTTTTATCGTTGATGTTTTCCTGCAAGGACACAAATATGTGTATTAGGAATGAAGAAACCCAAGAGAATAATGCACCAAGCCTCCCCTGACCGACAGATTTGAATTTACACAGAACCCTCAGCTACCCGAGTGAGAAGGCCCACTGGATGCCGCCCACTCCCCTCTTATCTGTGCTCCAGCACTGTGCTCCCCGTTTCCTGGGCCAGGCTCCACTTCCCTCTCCAAACAGAGGTGAAGCGGCCAGGGGATGACCTCCAGGGTGAATCATGGAACAAAAGCTGCTCTTGCAAAGAGCGTCAGCTTGGCAAAACTGTCTGGTGACCCCCGTGGGGCCACCTTGTTCCCTCCAACTGGTTCCTCTGCTTGAGCAGGCTCAGGGGATGTCCGCCCGACGCCCACAGCACATCATTCACAGAATGGGGCGACAATGCTGCCAGGCAAGGCGGCTGGTGGGAGCGCACAGAAGACTCATTCCGGATGTGAGAGAATGTTATCTCGAAGGCAGGCGCTTCCTGTCAGACTCACTCTTGGAGACCAACCTTCTGCGCTGAAGGAAAAGTCAACAACTTGGCCTAAGGGCTCCATGGGTGGGAGGAACATGCCAAGATACACACACACACACACACACATATGTAACTGCCACAGTGAGAAACAGGAACACCTCCAGGGAGGACAGCGAAAAGAACTCAGAGAGGCAAGCCCCAAGGGTACCCACCTTGCAGAACCTTGTCCACGGAATCAGACCTTCCGGGCTGGCATTAGGGCCTAAACAAAGAGAAATGTTTGTTCAGGAATCAGAAGTGGAAGCTTTGGCTAGAACAGAGATTCTTGGAGGTGATCACCAGAAAGAGAGCCGACCCCAATAAAAGGAAGGCGGTCTGTTCACGGTCAATGTTCTCAGAGAGATGAGTTTGGGCTAAGTGAGCATCGGTGCACTGAGTCCCTCTTCCGCCTCTGCTGCCTCCTCCCCGAGTAGCCCTGCAGCTTTCCAAGAAGCTCAAACTAAGACGGAATTCATCTATGTAACTGACACTTGGCTTCATAAGCTAATGTTGACTAGGAAGTAAGTGCTCGCCTCGGCTCTTCTCCCAAAGGTCCAGAGCTCAGGCAAGTGAATACAAACCCCAGTCACATGAGAGAGAGTGTAGGAGAAAGAGAGCAGGTGCTTCTTAATGAGCCTGGGCACGACTGTCACCTCTCAGAGAGAACCACAAACTATCCACGACAGGATTTCTTCACTCTCTCCCAAAAAGAAGTGTTACTTCACTTCTTTTTTTCTACACTTCTTATTCCTACCCTTTTTATTTTATTTAAGGCCACTTCCTACATTTTATTTGTGATTGTGAAGGGGTGGGTAGGTTTGACTAAGTCTGGTGATGCTCAGCGCTTTACTCCTGGCTCTGTATTCAGGGATAGTGGTGAGGCTCAAGCGACTTGGTCCTATCCTCTATACTATCGCACCAGCCCCAGCCTGCATTTCCTACCCTTTAGTACACAAGTGCTCCACTGTGAGGGGAGGCTCTGCCAAGAGCTTGGGAAGATAAAATTGGTGTCAGGAGGTGTCAGGAGTTGGTGGGGCTCAGCACTGCAGAAGGCAAACCTGGACAAAAGTTGCCTGTGCATTTTGGAAGAAAGAGTTCAAGTCCTCCTAGTCATGGAAGATCAGGCCTTGGGACTAGGAGGTCATTTTGATTTGTATAGTGAGACGTTGCAAAAGACATTATGGTGCCCACACGAGCAAATTGATGAACAGGAGGACAGTGCTACAGTGTGGACTAAAAGCTCGCAACGTCAGGCAGAACTGTTGGTCAAGGACTATCTCCTGTGTGTGAATTCTATGTCCTTGTCCTGGGTCACCTGACCCAGACTCACCATGTGCTCTGTGGAGGGCAGCCCCCACATCTAACCCCAACCATGTCCAGCACAGATATTGCCTGCAAGTTTAGGAAGACATGGTCCTGGTGCTGGAGTGACAGCACAGTGGGTAGGGTATTTGCCTTGCACGCCGCCAACCTGGGTTCAATTCCCAGCATCCCATATGGTCGCCTGAGCACTGCCAGGGGTAATTCCTGAGTGCAGAGCCAGAAGTGGCCCCTATGCATTGGGGGGTGTGACCCAAAGAGCAGAAAAAAAGAGACACGGTTACTCTCATCAAGGAACTCACTTCAGCCACAAATCATGTATTTCTCCTCATTCAAAGCACTGTAGCACTATGGCACTGTCCTCACATTGTACACTGATTTGCTTAAGCGGGCCCAGTAATGTCTCCGTTGTGAGACTTGTTACTGTGTTTGGCATATCGAATACATCATGGGTAGCTTGCCAGGCTTTGCCGTGTGGGCGAGATACTCTTGGTAGCTTGCTGGGCTCTCCGAGAGGGGCGGAGGAATCGAACTCAGGCCCGCCAAGTTGGCCGCATGCAAGGCAAACGCCCTACCACTGTGCTGTTAACATGAGATCATGTTGATTGATCTGAGTCTTCTATCAGGCTTTTCTCTTTCCAAGGTGAGGTGTAGTGCTCACTTAGTATAAGAAGCTGGTGTAGGGGCCCAGCATGTCTTGCATGCTGCCAAACTGATTCAATCTCCAAGTCCCGCCAGGAGTGATCCCTGAGTGCAGAGCTAGGAGTAAGCCTGGAACACCTCTGGGTGTGGCCAAAACCCCCAAATTAAACAAAACAAAAAGAAATTGAAGTTGCTGCTAGATGGGTCGGAGAGATAGCAGTGAAGGCAAGGAGTTTGCCTTCCACAAGGCTCAACCCTGGTTCAATGCCTGGCACTGCAGAAGATCCTCCAAGCACTGCCAGGAGTGATCTCTGAACACAGAGTGTTCCTGAACACAGAGCCAGGAGAAAGCCCTGAGCCCAGCCCGGTGTGCCCTTGCGCTGCCCCTCACTTCCTCCCCACCCCACACCCCACACCCCAACACACACAAAGAGAAGCCACTGCTGGAAAAACCAATAGCATTTACCACTCCACTACCTTGAGCAATTCAGAAAGCAAACAGGGTGAAAGAAGCAAGTGAAAATACTTTCATGAATTCCAATTTTTATACCCACGAAAAATTATATATGCTCATACCCAGAAGTTTCTCCCCCAGCATGTTTAGCTGGTCGACGTTGAGCCCTCTCTTGGTGACAGAAGAAAACTGCCAGCTGAGCACCTCGGACAGCTGAGCCCAGCGTGCACACGGGGGGTTCAGGAAGAAGGAGAGATTCTAGAAAGAAAAAAACACAACAACTAAGGAAGAGTCACAGGCACGAGCAAAGCACACACACACGGGCCTGCCTCACAGTCTGCTCCTGTGCCTGCAAATACGCTCGTTTCCCCTAGTAGACAATGAGTCCATTCTGATGATCACAGATTCACCTTTGTGAATTCATCTGCTCATGAAAGTTGACTTGGAAACCCCAAACCCGTATTTATGGCACTCTCATAGGTTTTCATGGGCATACACTGCAAAAAGCAGAGGAAAATCGGAGTCGCCCAACATTTGCAGCTGAGGCTGGATGGAGTGACACGCTCTTCTTATGTAAGCTCTCCTTTCCACAAGGGCCCTTTTCAAAGCTATTCAGAGTGTCATAAGCTCTGAGTGCCTGTGGCTTTTTCTTGGTGGTTTCACTTGGTGAGATCACTGTTTTAAAGGACCTCAAGTGTAATGTGAAGTATGGCCCAGTGTTCTGAGTTAAAACAAAAACAGTCACATCAGGTTTGATCCCCGGTATCCCTTATGATCCCCCAAGCCTGCAGTGATTTCTGAGTGCAAAGCCAAGAGTCAGCTCTGAGCACAACTGCAAGTGCTGTGAAGTACCTTAAGGACAAAGTACGTGTGCTACATAGGCTAGGCTCAGGCAGGAGTTCAATGCTAATGAACTGACAAATACATCAGATAACTGATCTTTAGACAGAAATGCACACAGGCAAGGTTATATATTGACTGGCAGAAATGTACACAGACAAGGTTATATATTGACTGGCTGACAAAAAAGGTTGTAAGCAGAGGCTCACAGGAACCTAATTTTGGAACATTCCTAGGAATGATAGTTCACTAATCACTACTGAAGTGTCCACAGTGAATTTATGAAATGCAACTACAGTGAATCATGAGACACACTCTAATTAATCAATAATGAGTATCTATCTCCACATCTAATATTGGAGCCTGCTTGTTAAGCAGATGTATACCTTTTAATATTTTTTTCACTTCATTATTTTTGTTTTCAGATATTCTCTTTTTTTTTAAAAAAGGGTAACAATACAGGGTTTCTTCCACATGAAGTGGTATGAAATAATTTATGACCTGAGTTTACCATGGGAAAAAGATTTTATTCTTTATCAAGTCTTACTTTATCGGTAAGCCTCATTTCTAACAAAGTTCATTCTCCAGAATCACTCAAGATCCTTAGCAGCGTGTACTAAGGGAGATAACAATATGCACCAAAATCCTAACTGCCAATCAGATGATTACAGGGCGATGTGGGAAAGGAAGAAAGTGGGACCAGAGGTGACAGAGGGACAGTGGTGCATGGTCGAAGAGAGTAATTCTGGACATCAATACACAAACTTGAACACTACTGTAATCCTATTAGCATAGCTACATATTTTTAAAAGGCTCCTTAGCAGCTCCGCTGGTGTGATATTAGGACCCCTCAACATCAGGGGACAGTCCAGACACGCAAACACTAGAGCAGGTGCAATTCCCATACCCTGGGTTCCGCCACCAGCATGTTGTACCACAGGATGGAGGCCCAGCCACTGGGCAGCTGGCTGACGTTGGAGATCACCACGACAGGCAGAGAGGTCGTCTGCAAGAAGACAGACACTGTGAAATCTTCTGAATCACATGGTATCACCTTCATCCCACACTGCTGCAGCCTCAGATCTAAGTCAGGAATGAATTAGACACCTGGGTTTATTTTAGACTCAAAAGAAAGTTAAGAGATCAAGGGATGTTTTGTTTGTAGTTTATCTTTGCAGTTGAGGAATGAGTCAACTTGCTTTGCATATGAAAGCTGACACATGATTGGGGCCAGTGTGGTAGTAGAGTGAGTAAGGTGCATACTTTGCATGTAGCCGGTTCGATTCCCGGCACCACATATGGACCCCCTCAGTCCCCAATGCCTCAAATGGTTTCCCCGAGCACTGTCAGGAGTAATTCCTGTCTGCATAGCCAGGAAGAACCCCCTAAGCATTGCCGTGTGTGGCCCCCAAACAAAAACAAAACAAAAAAGAAAGTTAACACGTGATATCTCAAATGGAACACTTGGAATACTAAGCATAGAGAATTTGGAAATTAGTTCAGTGCTATGGCTTTCTGAACCATTAACAAGAAGACACCATCACTGCAATCTGTGTTAACAAAGCCACTGGTGGTACCGGCTGATGTGAACATGCTATGAGCTGAAAATGGTCCCAATGACATGTGCTCCAAAGGTGTGCACATTCCCGAGCATGCAAGACCTCAAGTTTGAACCTCAACACCATGTGTCTTTTCCAGGATGACACACTGCCAGCCAGAGCTGTACTGCATTGGCGGCTGAGCACCTGTCCATCAGTCCCACGTGACCAGCTGAGTATCACCGGGAGTGGCCCCAGGACCCTCAAAGCACTGCAGAGAAGACTCCCCTCTCCTCAAAAAAAAAAAAAAAGATTTCTTCACCAAAGCTCACAAAAACTTGGAAATAACATCCAAACAGTTAAAAGCAAAATCAATCAATCAAGTTTCTCACTTCCAAATCATGGCAGTCTTACCTCGAGGTCAATGACCAAACCAGGCTGGCACAACTGAGTCTCAAAACTAAGGGAGTGGAGCTCCTCGGTGACGATGAGAGGACCCTGGAGAGGGAAAGGGGAGGGGTCAGAGCCTTTCATCCACGGATCCTGCTGCTCAAGAAAGGATAATGAGCACTGTTCTAGGCCACGAAAGTCCTGGAGAGCTGAAGCGCCATCCCCTTCCCAACTGCCTGCCTTTCAATCACTGTGAGCGTCTGAACATCCTCCAAGACTGCAGACATAAATCTGGGGTGTGAGAGGAAGGAGCCGCACCAAGAGGTTCCCATGTGACCTACGCCTCTTGGCTCTCGGCCCCTCTCCCCAGCTGCCCCACCTGTGTGGGCTGAACCACTCAGGCAAGAGGGGATGGCAGGAGGTGAAGGCTAAAAGTACTTGTGTGATCTAGGTGTGAAGATTTCCAGGCAGGACTGATTGGCATAAGTCTGGCGGGCCCCTTGGTGCCTTGGTGTGGGCAGCCAAGTCTTAGTTCCCAAAGTGCCTTCTCGCAGTGTGACTCGCCTGAGCATCAGAGCTCGGCCAGAGAGGAGCAGGCCTATCCGTGGTCACAGGAGAAAGCAGGAAAGACTTGGCAGCGCCAGGCAGCTGACCGCTCCACAGCTCCACACGCTCCCTACTGGCGTGCTGTGGAAGAACAGTGTATTCTTCTCTACAGACACCAGGGACAAGAATACTCTCAACCCAGTTCTCCCTCCTCCAGGAAGCTTGACTGTGTCCATCGCTCCATTTCAAATGTCTCAGAAACATAATTCCAGAAGGGTCTAGTGGTCAAAAAGAAGCGAAAGGAAATACTGTGTCACTGAGGACGGACACAGTGTACAATGGCAGGCACCCCCTCTGAGCACAACCCGATGTTGTCATGGTCATCAGAACACAGCCTTTAGTTCCAGCACTCACTAGCATTCCTTGTGCAACCCTCGATAAATCCTGCAGCAACTTTCCAGGCTTGACCTGGTTCATCTGAGTAATACAGAAGTCCTCCCCAAATCTATTCACGTGCAAAAATCAACCCCAGTTATAGAGTACAAACAGAAAAATGGACTCATGGACTCTTACTACTACCAATGATATGCCCCAGAGTTCACTCCCTCAGCTTCCTTGGCAAACCCTCTCTCTGAGTTGTCCTCAGCCCCAGGGGTGCTGGTTAACCCCATTGGATAGAGACCAATTCACAATGAGGAAGTTAGAGCCCATTCAGACACACACACACACACACACACACAGAGAGGGAGAGAGAGAGAGAGAGAGAGAGAGAGAGAGAGAGAGAGAGAGAGAGAGAGAGAGAGAGAGCCTTACCTCATTAGTCCTGGTGCCTGCATTTTTCTGTTCTTTCAGTTGCTGTAAAGTAAGAAAGCATCTTACTAAATGGCATCAATAATGGCCAAAGATGCTATTTTCACTTACAAATCAACTAGAGTTGGAACTAAGAATAAAGAACGTGAAATGGTTTGCTAAACACAGAACATGGGAGAAAATTCCCTTTGTGAGGGTCCATGAGCAGGATGGTCTTTCCCCAGCATGACATCTTGTCTACATGATAAGGTCTAGAAGGATCCAAAGGATTGCATCTGGTCCCCTCCTCTTCCCTTTGCAAACTGTTCCACAATGTTACCTAGTTAAACTGAAATTCTTCACAAAGCCCATGCAATCACCAGCAGCAAATTCTAAGCCTGTATACCCCAAGGGTTCTCTCCACACGATGCACACAGAGTCAGTCTACAGGGAACACAGACCAAGGGAGACAGATTCAGCTCCAAGGAGGGGGGAACTGGCCTCCTCACCAGGTGTCTAAACTCTGCCGCCAGACTTCCGTTGATGGACTCTTCCATGTTCATGACCTTTGTGTGTGTGCCCAAGATGTTGAACTTTCTGAATCTAAACAAGGAAGGGCAGACATGTGTAAAAGGCTGGGAACTATTCAGCCAACAAAGAAAATAGTAAAACTCAGTGCAAAGCAATTTACATACCCTTTCACTGTATTTTTCTCATTCACATCTCTGCAAAAAAACAAATAAAAAGATATATAGACACGTGAATTTAAAGTTTGAAATAGCCTTAACATCAATGCAAAAGCATGTGTATAAGTATTAGATGTATAAAAGTCTACACCTGTGGTTTTCCACCCCTCCCTCAGCCAACAAACCAGCCACCACTAGTGCTGGCAAGAATAACTGGGTGTCTTTGGGCCTCATTTCTCCGTTATCCACTATGCTCGAGGCACCAAGCTTTCAGCATACTGTGAGGAGTAAGCCAGCTAAATGCTAAAAAGAGCAACTAGCTTGCTCGCAGTAAATGGATGCATGGTCACGGCTTTTTATTGAATCACTCACTTGAGCTGGGTATTAGGGATGCTCTAACTGAACTTAGAAGACCTTCTGAGGTGATGGCTTAATTCTTACTTCCTTTCTTTGTTATCTTTAATAGTCACAACAAAACTTGGGAGTAGTCGACTAGTTTTCAAATTTGAGGTTAAAGATCTTAAGAGACCTTGCACCTTGTATAAATCCAGAGCACACTCGTCATGTTCTGTACAGATACCCTATGTTAGGGGCAGAGGCATAGAATGAAAAGATGAGTTGACTTTCTGATTTTGTGAATGACAATCATCTCTCTCTAACAGTGACCTGCTTTTCCTCTGGAATTAACTGTTGTTTTGTTTTTGGGCAACATCCAGTGGTGCTCAAGATTTACACCTGGTTTCGTACTACGGGAATCACTCCTGGAGATGCTCAGGAGACCATATGTGTTGTTAGGGATCAAACCGGGATCAGCTGCAAGCAAGGCAAATGCCCTACGCCCCACTACCACCTTCTCTGGCAACTGGATGAAACTTTTGAATGAAAAGGAATAGTGTCAGGTAAAGAATACTCCAAAACTGAAAAAGACAGAAAAGACCTAGGAACACAAACTCAAAGAGAGACTGAGCCAAAGCAGAGTGCGTGGTTAATTGCAATGGTCAATATTAGGAACCTGTGGATCCCGAGAAGGTTCCCCCAAGTTCTGTTCAACTTCACTCCAAAAACAGGTTCCTGACAACTAAGGGAAGAATCAGCACAGCCTGGAAACAGACTTGACTGTGGATGAATACCCGCTGTCGAGAGCTAGGAGAAGGGATAATGTGCCATGTCTAGTTGCTTCCAGACTTGATCATGACAAACTTCAAAAGTTCAAAATCTATTTCTGCTTTCGTTACTCTCCCAGTGGGGGTGACACTGCCTGCTGGGGAGCAAAAGCAGCCTTGGGTGCAACTGGGAGGGAGGTGCTTTCTTTCCTTTCTTGATGAAAAGGAGATTTGTGTGTGTGTGTGTGTGTGTGTGTGTGTGTGTGTGTGTGTGGCGGAGGGGTGGGGGCGGTGGTTAATAAGAAATCTTCTTGGATTTTTTTTCCCCAAAAAGGAGATGGTTGTTGAAATATGCCTGGAAATCTCTGCTTTATGCTGAGACTAGCTCCTGGGGAAGCTCTCAGCCTCCAGATTCATTTACAAATGGTCTGCATTAGCTGTCGTGCCCATCATTTGTACATGTATCTTAGATAATGGCAGATATCTTACTTGTCAAATAAGACTTTGACTTTCAAGTTATAATTCAGCTCCTGCAATTTCACCAACAATCTGGGGGGAGAAAAATGAAGATCATTATGATTTTGAAAAGCTATTACAAGTTATTTGTTATGCTAATTTACGATCTCTCCTCTCTTCTCTCTCTCTCTCTCTCTCTCTCTCTCTCTCTCTCTCTCTTCTCCTCTCCTCTTCCCCCTCCCCTCTCTGTTTTGTATTTTTTTTTGCGCCACACCAGGTGATGCTCAAGGGTTACTCCTGGCTCTGCACTCAGGAATCACTCCTGGAGGTGCTCATAGGACCATACAAGATACTAGGGATAGAACCTGGGTCAGCTGTGTGCAAGACAAATGCCTTATTCACTGTACCATCTCTCCAGCCCCTATGTTTTCTATCGAACATGTACTTCCTTTCTTTCTCTTTCTCTCTTCTTATACCTTTCTAAGCTGTTCCATTCAATAAAAACTATCTCACTTAAATAAAAATAAAACCCAAAATGACAGAAGCCTGGAATTTATTCACACCAAAAGTTACAAACAGTACCCATTTCCTTCTATACTCTTCTAAAACTAGACTGTAACAAAACTTCTATTTTGGTTCTGTCAGTTTGGTTTTGTTTGGGGCCACACTCAGCAGTATGTGGGAACTACTCAGAGGTGCTGGGAATCAAACCTGCAGCTTCTATATGCAAAGCATGAGCTATAACCCATTTGAGTCATCTCCCTGGGCCTCAAAATTTGTCTTGTTGGTAAAAAACAAAAATTATCTCCATATTCAGAAAAGTGAAGGTCACATTCCCATCTCTCCAAGGTAGTGTGGAAAGATGGTGGAAAGGAGCACAGGGCTGATACTCTGGTGCCTCTGTTGGAGACCTTGGGGGGGGGGAATTCTTTGAAGGCAGCTCCATGGGGAACAATGGGGATACAGGATGGGCTTTCTAGTGCCCCTAGCTCTAGCAGATGCTCTAGCACAGCACTGTCCTCTGGAAGCCAGGTGGGATGCACCCACGGAGGAACTCTGCAGTACCCCGAACAAAGGGACAGAGCCAGCCAATGGCTGTCCAGCCGCTCACTGGCAGAGCAGTGCAGCCTTGAAGAGAAAAAGTCAAAATGTATATCCTCATGTACAAACATTTCTGCAATGGATGATCACAGAGAAAAACTAGACTGCAGACAACAGAGAAAGAACCCTAGTTTTCAAAATAAAATTTGTATACCATATAGGCTTAGATGGAGATATGTGTGTATTTATAGAATTGGATAGATGTGGGGAAAATTCTGGGAGGACAAACACTAGGCTGTTCACTAGGGTGGTTAATAGACATTCGACCAAGAGACAACTTGGAAAAGACGATGAAATCTGTGAATCCACACACAAGAGAAAAAATGGACGCGGTCTCAATGCACATTTAAACCCTCTGCTTAAAATTCCAGAGTTATAAATAACGCTCATGTAACAAACTGATGAGCAAGAGGGGATGGAACTTCTGAAATGTTCAGTTCCTGCTCTGGGCAACTCTGAAATTTCAAATTCCTCCTTACAGTGAATGTGCATGAGGGACGAACCAGGTGTGTGCCCACATGGATACCTGCGACACTTCTGTTCTGAATATGAGTGACAGACTCTGAGGTATGTGAAGTACGGATTTGTATTAAATTATTGCAGCAAAATCACTTCCTCTAAAATGGGCTGTGTAACAGAGCTGAGAAGGGAAACTTGAAACAGGAAGCGTGTGACCAGCGAAGTCTAGAGCTATCTCTTTTCTTACCTCAACTTCACTGTGAACTGCACCCCTGTCTTCAAGACTAATGGCCTCTGCGGGTGAGTTGGCATGCATGGCTGTCTTTCCACCACAAATGAGCTGAAAATTCCCAGCAAAGGGTAAGTTAGCATTTTCATGAAGACAAAAGTAGTGAAAAATTACTTCTCTTAAAGAGAAAAGAAAAGGGCTCAAGCTAAAAAGAGTTAATTATAGTCTGAAATAGCTAAAAATAGTCTGAAAAATTCAAATAAGTTGGATAAATGAAGGGGGGTTTCTAATCAGTAAAGAAATCTTCAAACCTATTATGAACTTCAAAGTGTTATGTTATCATCTGAAACACTTTAGAGTATTTTGGAAAACAGCCCTTTTAGAAATACTGTCTAGTGATATTGCCTAGTGATACCTAATAAACATTTTAAAATACCAACTTTTTGTTTGAAAAGTAAAACAAATATGAAAGCTACACTTGAAAGTCCAAATAAATGTCTTTAATTATATGAAACCACCATCTAAGTATTCCTGGTTAGATATCAACCATAAGCAATCCCAAGTATTTTTATTATGTCAATAGTACAAAAAGGTGCTTGCAATATGGCCTGTAGTCATCTTTTTGTTTGGGTTTTTGGGCCATACCTGTCGATGCACAGGGGTTATTCCTGGCCCTGTGCTCAGGGAGCACTCCTGGCAGTGCTCAGGGGACCATACAGAATGCTAGGAATTGAATCTAGGTCGGCAATGTCTAAGACAAGCACCCTACACACTGTACTGTTGCTCTGGCGCTGATCTGTACTATTCTATCCAGAGCTATTGCTTCAGTAACAAAGGGTACCTGGAAAAGCTACCAGGGGCAAGACCCTAGAGGGAAAGACAGGATGACAAAGGTATAGCCCCTTCAGGACAAAGTAACAAACTTACACAGACAGCCCTATCTCAGAGGCCACAGTGGGGGACCAAATTGGAGAATGAACTACAAAGATCTGGAAGTACCTGAGCACCCTTCTGAGGAAATTTGGGAAGATTTCAGATATAAGCTGAAGGGCACAGGATGCTACAATTGTGGAATCAGGTACAGGAGAAAGTGGCTCTGGGGCAGAGGAAATCAAGACAGGAGCACAGAGATGTCCACAAGGTGGGCCCAGCAGGGGTAGGAGGTCATTTGCCTGGAGATAAGGCAGGTGAGGACACTTCCGGTAGGGGCAGTGAGCGGGGCCAGCCTGAGGAGGCAGTGCACCAGTGTCCAGATCACAGGTTCTGCTGGCGTGAGCAGGTGACAGAGAACCGGAGTGGAACTTGACCCTGTGACAGCATCAAGCCACGAAGGTTAGAGAAAGGTCTGAGCGGGTTGTGCTGGGAGGCCGCTGTGCCAGTTAGGCTGCAAGAGCCTGAAACGAGATCATGTCCCATCTGGGAAGAAGAGGACAAACAGTCAGGACACTGGCCACAGGGAGGAGGAATGGTAGCGACAGCTCTTCCTTCCCAACTTAGGTGGCCACAAGGGCAAAAGGCGATGGGCATGAACCACAAACTCGAAAAAGCCGATCGCTGGTAAAAATACATGACAATGTTGAGATGTCACCCAGGAGAGGGTTCTAAATGATCTCGATTCCTGCGGAGTTGTCTCTGGAGTGAAGAGAAGACTGTATTACCTCTGAATGAGTTGCTGGAAGAGGTTGATAGTGCGGTCCCACAGCACCGACTTGTTCTTGGTGATCGGGTCATGGTCGTAGGGAACCTTCTGCTCCAGCTCCTCCAGCTTCTTCAGCTGCTGACGCACCTGCTGCAGACTCTCAGCAACGATGGTGAACCTGGGGAGGCACAACACACAGAGCTCTTGATCCCAACCAGCCCTTGGCCACCTGTGGTGCAGGGGGAGACCCATGCAGGGTGGGCAGAGGCCAGGGCCATCCTCACAGGTAGGAGCGCACCCTCTTCAGGAGGAGAAACTTTCACATACGACAGCCGGGAGACAGGTGGAATGGAGGATTGGGAAAGGAGACTGGGTTCATCAAGGGACCGTGATGAGTAGAGGGGTGGGATTTGGGCCGAGAGGCGGAGGACAGAGTCAGGGGGACTCCACTAGGTGAAACCGTCAGACCCGCACATCTCGCCTCAGGAAAGGGAAATAGGAGAACAGCCTGCAAGTGACCCAGGTGATGCCAGACCCTGTGGGGGACTGAAGTGAAAGAAAAGAGCGAAATGCTGGAGCTGGACACTCAAATACACAGGAAGGACAGAGCCGTGCCGTGGCGGAGAGGCTTGTCCCTGCTGACAATAAAAACGCCGGAGAAAATCTCGCTAGCAAAAACCCCCTTGTCCCTGAGTCCAGTTCAAAGCACCAAGTGAGCAGCCCTTGGCTGTGAGAAGAGAAGCATAAAGGGAGGTGGGTGGGTGGGCAAGACTTAGGCGTACCCAAACCCGGTTCTGTCCAAGTGTGGGCGCCAGGTCACAAAACAAGACAACAATGCTTGTATGGCTCAGTCAAGGGGGGGAGAGAGTCTGCTTTCGTTTTCTTGCTTCCTTTATAATTTTTTCTTTGCCGGGGGATGGGGGTGCAGAATTTGGGGCTGCACCTGGCAGTGCTCAGAGTTTCCTTCTGGTTCTGTGCTGAGGAATCACTCCTGAAATGCTCAGGGGATCACGGGAAGTGCTGCGGATCATACCACTGTATACAAGGTATACACTGTACAAGGCATACATACTGTATACAAGGCATACAAGGCAAGCGCTCTATGCACTACACTATCTCTCCAATTCTCCAAGGTGTTTTCTCACTAGAAGAGGCACTGGGGGCAGTAAGTAATGCCCAGAAGGCTCCCCACAGCCCAGGTATCCTTGGGCACCTGGAAGATCTGGGGGTCAGATTTTCTCAAGACTCCAGAAAACAGCACACTGGGAATCTCTGTTCCAATCGCAAGAAGCAATTCATAACAGGAAAACAGATGGCAGGGGGTCAGTGCCACCGCTCAAAGGGTGGGAGCGCATTCCTTCCAATGCACTAGACCCTAAGTTTGGTCCCCAGCACCACACAGATCCCTAGCACCAGGGATTGCCCTGGTGGTCTCAGCACTGCTCGGCCCAAGCAGTGCCAGCCCAGCATTGAACCATTCAGGCTGGTTGGTGAAGTACTGCTACGAGTAGCACCCTGCTTGCGGCTCAATTAACAGTCATGAAAGATTGCTAATTGTGACTGTGATTTTTTTTTTATATATAACAAGCTCAGACAATAAATCTTTTTGTTTTGTTTTGTATGTTTTGGGGCCACACCCAACTGCGTTCAAAGCTTACTCCTGGCTCTATGCTCAGGGATCACTACTGGCAGGCTCAGGGGACCATATGGGATATTGGGGATCAAATCTGGGCTGGTCACGTGCAAGGCAAGCATTATACCCACTATACTATCACTCCGGCCCCTCAGAAAATAATCTTATGAGATCTGTGGTCCTGGAAATCCTGGATTTTTCAGATTCTAGCCCAGAGTCTAACTTAAAAAGTATTTGTTAAGTGGATGACCAAAAATCCTGTAAGAAGCTATCATTGCATTATGCAAGTCTAAAAAAAAATGTCTCCGGATATTTTGTGTTGAAGAAAACACCAGGACACAAGTTGCTCAGAGGTCACGAAGTGACTGTATCCCTATTGCTCTCACACACCAAGGGGGTGTGGAACACGAATGCACAGAAAGCCGGGGACAGGAGGGCTCTTCCTCCAGCTGACCATGGCTGGACAGCTCTGTGCTCTAACATCTTCAGGGCAACGAGTGCTGGATCATTTCAAACTCTAAACCAGTGTCTCCGAAAGGAAAACACTGTTGAGAGACTTCTATTTATTTGCTTAAGGAAGGAAGATTTCTAGTGGGGGTGGGGTGGGGGCAGGGAATGGAGTAGTATTGAGTGCTTTTTTAAAGTTTGGGTGTTCTTCCCTAAGATGGGGATGTTAAGCCAAATAAATTTGGAACTTGGGAAACTTCTGGTCTAAACCAAAGTTTTGACTGGGTCCACCAACTAACACACTTTGATTTGGGGGGATGTGGGGGAGGGGGCTTGGAGACACACCCATCAGTGCTCAAGGATTACTCCTGGCTCTTCACTCAGGAATTACTCCTGGTGGTACTGGGCGGGGGGGCACATAGGATGCCAGGAATCAAACCCGGTCAGCTACATGCAAAGCAAATGCCCTACTGCTGTACTATCACTCTAGCCTATCAATGATTACAGTTTGAAAGTGCATGTTCCAAGTCAGCGTGTCTGGCCAACTTCCTGCTCTGGCTAATCTTACCAGTTCTGCAGCTGATCGAGGCAGGCATTGGGGGGGCCTCCAATGCAGGCACTCTGCTGTCTCCGCTTCCACTCCACCAGTTCATCGTTAATCAGGGCTTTCTGGGTCAGCTCAGTGACATTCAACAAGTCGATTATTTTGTGAACTACTTCCTAAGAGGAGAGGAAGAAACAAAGAAAATTAATTCATACCTAATTCCCACATTTTCAGAGACTTTTTTTTTTAAAGATCAAAGCAAATATCCTTTAGTTCTCAACTGGGATTCTCAGCCAAGTGACTAGAAGAATAACTTTTCCTCTATTTTAAACTTTAAGTCCATTATGTACATCCTACGATGAAAGTAACAAGTTGATGTGGAAGAAAAATCACTACCTTTCTCTTATTGTCAAGCATTAAAAACATCTTCTGGAGTAACAGCTTTTCTTGTTTCTGATCATTCGTGGCTACACCATTGGTTTCATTCTCTGCAAATTGGGGGAGGAAAAAAAATACACATGAAAAAGAGACAAAGGCAACTAAACCCATGATTCATAGAGACTTACGAAAAATGGAATCTCAAGGTCATCTCATGATACTGAAACTAGGGTCATTGTCAATCTTTATTGAACAAAGCAAGAAAAATGTCCAAGAATAAAGAGGGGATACTCAGAAACAAAATTCTTGCTTTCGATGACCCATGTATACTGGCAGCCATCCTTCCTGGTATCTGTCAAGACTATTTTCTAAATGCACATAAGTGACAAAATTCAAAATTGCAGATGAATCTAGTAACTTGGAAGAAGACTTAGCCACTGGTAGTAGTAGTGAGTAGGTGAGATTTCTCTCACGTATAATTTTATCAGATTGTGTGAATAACCCCTCCATTCTAACCTGTCTCCTCCCAATGATTTTCAGGTTGGTAGCAGGAGTCACACATTCTACACAATTTGAGATTATTCCCAGCTGTTTTCCTACCACCATTAAAAACAAGAATGAAAAATAATATTTTGAAATCTGAGGAAAAATGCTAAGCCTATGTTTCAGACACACACGTGGAGCCAGGGGGCTGTTGGAAAGAACTTCAGGTGGAAGGCCAGGGGCACGCCTGAAGGCAGATGGATCAGCCAGATCAGCAGGTCAGAGGTAAAAAACACACAACCAATGGGTTAGCAGTAGGGGTGGCTATCGCTCCCCAGGGAATAGACAATCTCCAAGAGGTAAATCTGGACACAATTTTAGTTGCCACCATTAGGAGCTTGGAGATCAGTTCTACTGTAATCGTCAACATACATGCCAGCAATGTCGTTCAACATCCTAGGACATAGTAGACACATAGTGGACATGGTAAAGTACTAGAACAGTACTCAGGTTAAGCAATCCTGACCTGGGTCATGAAGAAGCCAAGAGATAACACTCAGAGTCAGAATCTAAGTAGTCAGAAGGAAGGAGATTCATCATCTAGCACAGAGAGAAACTGTCACTGTCACTGTCCTCCCACTGTTCATCGATTTTCTCAAGCGGGCCCAGTAACATTGTGAGACTTGTTGCTGTGTTTGGCATATCGAATACATCATGAGTAGCTTGCCAGGCTTTGCTGGGTGGGCGAGATACTCTCGGTATCTTGCCGGGCTCTCCAAGAGGGGAGGAGGAGTAGAACTCGGGTCAGTCATGTTGGCTGCGTGCAAGGCAAATAAATGCCCTACCCACTATGCTATCGCTGCAGCCCACAGAGAGAAACATTTTTGGAAAATAAGCACTACTTCAGGTTTTCTTACCTCTGTTCTGAAAGGTTTTGTATTTGAAGTCATATTCATCCTGTAAGTCTTCCAGGGTCTTGATATCTTGCTCTATACACTGAAAATGAAGACAGAAACAGGTTGTCCACTTTAAAGACTTTAGAAAACAAAAACATTGCTTCCAGAGGACACAGAAAACCAGGAAAAACAACCCTGTTCCTTCTAAGAGGGAAAGGACCAACAAATTCTAAGCACATAATTGAAATCATTTCTATTTCACTTAGAAAGGTAGAGTAAATTCTTATAGAACAGAAAAACTGATGGCCTATCCATGCTGAGTGACATGACATCTGCTTTAGTTCATGCTTCCTTATGTGGTGAATGAAGCTGCAGCAAAAAATCTAAAATTCAAGAAAATTCTTCCTGACATACAAAGCCAAGGCCAGGTTGGTGGGACCCAGAGACACACAGGTGACTACATGCCTTGTTGGGGAAAGACTTCTGTGGATAGACCTTGTGTAATGTGGGGCTCTTGGTCCCTGATCCCAAGTAGCTGTAAGAGTGGACGCGAATGATCACAGGCCTTCCTGGGCTCTGAAGTTGACCTTAGTTTCACAAATTATTTTATGCGTTTTATTACAAAACCACTGGGGATGTTTGACTCTAATCAACAATGTATCAGAATTTCTTTCAATGAGTTGTTTTGCTCCTTTTCCAACACTTCTTTGATTTTTTTGACGTTAGATTGATTTTTTTCTTAAGTGAAGCAAGATGATTTTATTAAACAAAAGTTACTTAGAAAGATGCAAGAGGATGTGGCTGGAGTCAGGAGTAATAGTATAGTGGATAGGGCACTTGCTTTGCGTGAGGCTGACCTGGGTTCAATCCTCAACATTCCATATAGTCCCCAAGCACCACCAGGAATAATTCCTGGGCACAGAGCCAGGAGTTTAGTCCTTAGCATTGTTAGGTGTGCCGCCTGCCCCAGTTAAAAGAAAAAAAGGTTCAAGAGGAAAAAAAAGAGAAGACGTATGTGTTCAAGAGAGAACACCATCTTCTCAGAGTGGAAAAAGCAAACAAAGAGGCACAGAGACAAACCAGAGACGTGTTCAAGGGAGAACATGGGCTTGAAGAGCAAACCCCATTTTCAACTCTTTAGACAAGTGCTGGAGGGAAATGGGTCCCGTGTCTCCGGAAGCTTTGTGCAATACCCTAGACTACTACCTCAATCTGAGCCACAGACACAAAGACTATGTCGAGCAGTGACATCTAGTTCATTAGGCAACAGGGCAAAGTCACCAGTTATTGCCTGCTCCGACAAGGAAGAAAAAAGATAGGCACATTCTTTTGAAATCATGAAAGGAGCCATAAAAGCTGGGCTCCTCGTTTGTTCTGCCTGCATACTGAATTATGGTTTGGAACCTCAGTACAATTTTATCAGCAACATAAAAGACTGAAAAGCAATTATGAGGGCAAGTGCAACCTTCCCTATTCCCCCCACCCCTCACAAAAAAGTTATGAACAAATGTTGTGTATGGACTCACCATAACATTGTCCTTCACATTTCTGACTTTGCAGTCAAGCTCCTTCTGTTTGTCCAACATCACCGTGCTCTGAACACTGCCTGACTGGGCCTGTGATGGGAGGTAGGTGGGAAATGGCCATCATTTCCTCTGGTGTATTTACCAACCACTTTACTTTCCACATGGCACATGCAGTGCTGGAACTCGAGGTCTCCCGCACAAAAGGCAGGTGCTTCAGCCACGGAACCACCCCCAGTCCCAGGAAAATACACACATAAAATCAGTACAGATGCAGAGAGGGGAGGAGAATGTTCATGTGCTTTTAAAAGAAATTTTAAACATTTATTTAAATTAAATAAAAAAATTAATTTAATTTAATTTATTTGAGGATGGAGCAATAGCACAGAGGGTAGGGTGTTTGCCTTGCATGCGGCCGACCGGGTTTTATTACAAAACCCGGTCAACAAGTACTGGAGGAAAATGGGTCTCCGTCCTTCTCGGAGAGCCCAGCAAGCTACTGAGAATATCTCGCCTGCATGGCAAAGCCTAGCAAACTACCCGTGGTGTATTCGATATGACAAAAACAGTAACAACAAGTCTCACAATTTGTTGTGAGACATTACTGGTGCCCGCTCAAGCAAATCGATGAACAACGGGAGGACAGTGCTACAGTGCTTACCTTCCAAAGCCAAGTAAGGTCCCTCCTACTTTGCCAGATGTTCCCAAGTTTCCTACAATCTACCCAGGAGTATCAACCTAAAAGAGCTCAGTTCTCAAAAACCCTAGCAAAGCCAGACAAATTCTTAAGGCTATAGAAAGCTTGAGCAGTCTCAATTCATGCCTACTGTAAATAAAAGTTCTGGAATTTTCCATCAGTTCATATAGTTGCATATTACCACACAGGAATTTCAGGGTTTCTCAAATTCTGACAAGATTACTTTTATTAACCATGCACTTATATGTTCAAAGACACTGCAATTCACAATGCAGTCCCCAGAAGAGTGGAGTTTGAGAGCTTGCTGGAAATACAGTCTCAGAATCTCAGAATCTCCTCAGAATCTCCAGAAGCAAACACTTAGTAGGTCAAGGCTGGCAACGACCTAGACTTGGTGGTAGAGTGGAACACTGGGCCAACCCTGTCCTCGCAACAGATTCTACTCTAGAAAGATGTACATCTTGTTTAGAATTGAAGTTCTCCCTTGGCAAAGATCATGTTGTCTACCGTACTGAATATCCCACATAGCACAGATTATATGAAGACATATTTATATATATAGATAAGATATAAAATGTATATATTTTTATACACTCAAATCTACTGGTCTATTCTTTCTTTATACCTGGATTTCCCCTCCCATTAGAAAGTTTGCCCTACTCGCTGGGCCACCCCAGGTGGGAATAGGCTTTGTGCCTTGGCCTGTTCCCCTGGCAGCCCGGTGGCCACCATCCTCCAGAGGCCACTGACATGCGGGGCCTCACGGGATGGGGGTGGAGCCGGCTCTTTCTTCCCTGTTCCAATGAAACCCTGAGTCACCGACCACAAACGGCCATTCTGGCTCCTGATCATGATGCTTAACAGCCATGATCCAAGAGACTCATGAACAAATCTCAGAACCGAGCAGGTTTTGGCAGAAATCCCTCCAGATCTGATTGTTAAAATTTCAAAATTTCGAAATCGCGTGACCACTACTGTAGCCACGCAACATCATATGTTATTTATAACCAGCAATAGAAAACAAATTGTCTACTGATGCCTTTTCAGCAGATCTGAGTTTTGGGGTAAAATTCCAAATAATAATGGTGGGTCTGGTGTCAAAATATTGAATGTAATCAAAGAAGAGAGAGAGTAATTTGGAAATCATCTGCCCCACAGGTAGGGGGAGGGTAAGGAATGGGGGTACACTGGGGTTTGGGGGGGTGGAGAATGGGCACTGGTGAAGGTATGGGTGTTTCATTGTATGACCGAAACTTAAACCTGAAAGCTTTGTAACTGCTCTAACGGTGATTCAATAAATAAAATTATTTTTTTTAAAAAAAAAGAAAGTTTGCCCTACTAAACAAGATTACGAAGGAGTTCACTCATTTCTTCCTAGTCCTTTTTCTCTCTCTCCCTCCCGCTCACCTTCCCTTCCTCCCTCCCTTTCTTCCTACTTTTGAAGCTGAATGTGAATATGGGTCCAATTTTCACTTTTTGCCAATTGTTTATCCATTTTAAAATCAACTGAAAATTTCTTTTCTCCAGTGCTTTGAGTTGCTACACTAAACAGATACCTTCCCAAATGCAGCTAGGTTTATTCATAGATTATATCTTCCTTGTCTCCTGCTGTTTTTTTAAACCTGAACCCTGAACAAAATACAGTTAGAGTGTTTCAAGTACATCTACATGGGCTAATCAAATCTCCTTCTGCTATTCCATGAGTTTCCTCGCTTGTTCTTCATGTCTACTTTTCAGATGAATTTCTGAATCAATATATAGAGTTTCAGGAAACATCTTGCAATGTTTTATTGGAACTACATTAACACCGTGAATTAACTGAAGAAGGGCTGATATTTTTACAACATTATTTTCTACTCTTATGGTTTTCTCTGGTCTAATTACACCGGTCAATATGAACAACACAGTGCTCAACAGCAGTAGGAATAGCGGGCGTCTTTGTCATGCTTCCCACTTATTGGCACTTTCCAAAGTATGATACTCAATAAAACTGATATCGACATAGTTTTAATAATTTAAGATGTACCCAGAAGTTCCTATTTTATTGAGTTTTTCTGCAGAAATGAGTGTTTGATTAGTTTTAGCATCTGTGAAGATAAGTAAAAGTTTTCTCCTTATATTTACTTATATGATGAATCACATTAAGGGAATCCAAGACACAACTTAGTCATGTAATAAAATAATAAATTGTACAGGGGCTGGAGTATACAGCGGAAAACAGTGGAAAACACAGTGGGTCGGGTGTTTGCCTTGCACATGGCTGACCCAGGTTTGATTCCCAGCATCCCATATAGTCCCCCGAGCACTTCCAGGACTAATTCCTGAGTGCAGAGCCAGGAGTAACCCCTTTGCATCGCCAGGTGTGACTCAAAAAGAAAAAAAAATTGTACTGATAATGATGCAGTTTTTTTCTTCAAAAAGTATTTACACATAAACAAACATTCATACAACACAATAAAAAGACAGCTGCATGCCTGTTCCAGTCTGTCCTTCTTGTTGTCACACTTGATTTGGCTTGTGAGGAAGAAACACCACAAGATAGTCACCTGCTCTAAGAATCCTCCTGCTCCAAATGGAAGCAGCAGTCCATGCAGATCACTAAAACCTTGTTTCCTCCTACTTCTTCCTCTCACACCTGAAGCTACACCTCTACCCTACTTCCATTTGGTTACCTGGAGCCATCTGTCCTCCAGTTGTTCATCAATTTGCTCGAACAGGCACCAGTAACGTCTCCATTGTGAGACTTGTTGTTACTGTGTTTGGCATATCGAATACGTCATGGGCAGCTTGCCAGCCTCTGCCGTGTGGGCAGGATACTCTCGGTAGCTTGCCAGGCTCTCCGAGAGGGACGGAGGAATCGAACCTGGGTTGACCATGTGCAAGGCAAACGCCCTACCCGCTGTGCTCAGGTAACTGAAAAACAGTCACACTAAGCTTCTATTCAGAAGAGGGTGAAGTCTTACCCTGAAACTCTCTGACAGACCAGAAAGGACAGGAAACCGCAGCTCATCAAAGGTTCCCACCACAATACTGCCCCCACCCTAACGTTCTCATTTTACCCTGTACCTCGCCGAGGAACAGGGAGCTGTATATGAAGAGGTGCTGCCAGACATTCTCTCTCCCCACCCCACAGAGGAGAAAACTGAGGAAGATAAAGTGACTTCCATGATAAATTAATCTTTAGAAAAGATTTTTTTAATCACCATGAGACAGACCATTACAAAGTTGTTCATGATTTTGTTTCAATCATACAGTGTTCCAACATCCATCCCTCCACCAGTGTTCATCTCCCAGAACCAATGTCCCCAGTTTCCTTCCTACCACCCCCCAACTCCCTCTCTCCCAGTCTGTATCTATGGTAGCACTTTCTCTCTCTCTCTCTCTCTCTCTCTCTCTCTCTCTCTCTCTCTCTCTCTCTTTCTCTCTCTCTCTCCCCCCCCCCCTTCTCTTTCTCTGCCTTCCTCCCTGCTCCCTCTCTCTCCTCTCTTACTTTCCCTTACCTCCCCTCTTTCTCTCTCCTTTTGGGCAGTGTGGTTTGCAATACAGACATTGAAAGGTTATCATGAATATTCTTTTACCTTCTTTTAACACTCAGTTCTTCTACAGCATGATTATTTACAACTATTATTGTCAGACTGGCCCCTTCTCTATCTTACCTACCCTCCTCTCCCCACACACTCGTGGTAGATTCCAACCAGTGACCAGTCCTCCTGACCCGTTTTCCTTGTCTTAGATATTAGTCTCATACTATTTTTTTTATATACCACAAATCAATGCAGTCATTCTATAATTCTGTATCTGTTCCTCCCCTCCTGACTCACTTCACTCAACATGATACTCCCCATGTCCATCTGTTTCATAGGCAAATTTCATGACTTCATTTTTCCCACCAGCTGTGTAGTATTCCATTGTGTAGATGCACCATAGTTTCCTTAACCGTATGTCTGTTCTTGGACATTTAGGTTGTTTCCAGATTCTGACTATTGTGAATAGAACTGCAGAAGTGCGGACAGTGTTTCTGCTGTGTGTTTTTGTGCTCTAGGGCATATTCCCAGAAGGGGTATTGCTGGGCCAAATGGAGCTCAATTTCTAGGTTTTTGAGGAATGTCCATATCATTTCCCAAAAAGGCTGGACCGACTAGTCGGCATTCACACCAGCAATTAATAAGAGTTCCTTTCTCCCCAGGAAAATGAATCTTAAGAGTCATACAATTCTAGGTGAAAGTTCCAAATATTGTGAAGTACTTGTATTTTTAAGTCTTAGTATTCTCTGCAGAGGAGAAAACTTTGCACCTACTTTGGGGCCTGGGAGACAGTCAGCAGTTGTAGAGAATGCCTTGCCTGTAGCTGATCTGGCTGGAGTCAAGCATCACAGAGTGCAACCCCCTGAAGGCACTCAGCATCTCTAGGGTGGCTGGGTTATCATTCCTTGGGCTTGAGTGTCATTCCTTGGGTTCTTGCACTGAATTCATGGCCCAGTTGCCTAAGAATCTCCACTGGGGTCCCCAGGTATCCTGAGCACTGCTTTGAAGTCCTTCCTATTCTTCCAAGAACACAACATCTAGTTCCAAGTTTTGAAAGCACTACTTCAAATAAGATGTTTATGAAATGCAAAGGGCTAGAGCAATAGCACAGTGGGTAGGGTGTTTGCCTTGCATGCAGCCAATATGGCCGAACCAAGTTCGATTCCTCCGCCCCTCTCGAGAGCCCGGCAAGCTACTGAGAGTATCTCACCTGCACGGCAGAGCCTGGCAAGCTACCCGTGACGTATTGGATATGCCAAACACGGTAACAAGTCTCACAATGTTACTGGGCCCGCTCGAGCAAATCAATGTACAACAGGACAGTGACACTGATAAAATGCAAAGAGCAAAGCCCAAGCTATGAGCACTTAGCATACAGTAAGTCAGTCCAAACCAAGATCACGAAGATGCTCTGAGTTAATTAAGAATTTGGGGAATTAATAAGGAATTCAAAACTCCTTGCATCCTTTGCCCCCCGCCACAGCAGTGCTTACTCATTTGGCTCTGTGCTCAGAAATCAGTCCTGGCAGTATTCAGGTGACCTTATGGTGTGCCGAGGATCAAACCCTGCTTGGCCACATGAGAGACTTACCAGTTGTATTATCTTTCCAGCCCTAATGACTAAATTTCTTAAATCCCATATGCCTACCACAGAATTTTAGCAATTACAAATTCATGGATACCCTTATTTCACCTATAATCTCCCTCCTCTTCTCAAAAACAGAATTATTTTTGGAACAAATATCACACATTTGAAAAGCAAAATATCACTTTTCAAATAGATGTCAATATGAGTGGAAGATACATTACTAAGTCATAGTTACTGGGCTGGAGTGATAGAACAGTGGGTAGGGCACTTGCCTTGCATGTGGCTGACCCAGTTTTGATCCCGTGGCATCCCATGGTCCCTTGAGCCCTGCCAGGAATGATCCCCAAGCGCAGAGGCAGGACTAAGCACTGAGCATTGCCAAGTGTATCTCTTTCCCCCCAAATAACTAAATCACAGTGACTTTATCAAGTGGAAAAATGATTCAGTTCGAAAGTTCCCTCCAGTAGTCACATAGACAACTTTGGAAATGAAGCACCAATTCTTTTTCTTTCCTGAGCAGCCTGGGCATCCTGGTCCTTCCCTTGCTTCTCATGCTCTCTCTGGCAGCCAAACAGCCTCCTTGGTGCTCTCTGGGATCTCAGGGAGACCTCTCCCCAGAGTTCCTGCATTTGTAAAGAGGAGGTCAAAAACAGACCAGCCGCCAAGACCAAGCAGAGGTAGATGAGCATGAGAGGGGAAAGCAAAAATCAAGCACTCTGCCTCCCACTGCCAAGTCCAGGCCAGGACAAAAATGTGAGCCAAGGAATGCCTGGCAGCAAAGGTGGACAGTTCATTCCTCTGTCAGTCTCTGTTCGTGGCTATCTGTCCTCTTCAGTCCATTAAAATATGGAAATGGCCCATCACATATTACTGTTAAGATGAGAAAATACCAGGCCAGAAAAATCCCAGGGGAGATGGCCAAAGGACTAGAGGCATTTTTGCATGTGGGGATCTTGGGTTTGATCCCTGGTACCATATGGTCCCTTAAGTACTCCCAGAAGTGGCTCCTCAGCATCATTAGGTATGAACCTCCAAATAAAAAGAGATGATAAAATCCCACATCCCTGGCACCACATATGGTCCCCTGAGTCATGCTAGGTGTAAGCCCTGAACACTGCTAGGTGTTCAACCAACAAACAACCAAACAAACAACCAATCAAACAAAAATTTCCTGCTGAAAAATCTCTCGACTAGTCCATATTGAAGATAGGCATACTTGTCCTTTCTGAGAGACAATGCAACTCCCATGATAAACACCTATTCACTGGGTAGGTACCAGAGGTTAGCACAAGTCAGATGCATCTCTAAATGTTCAGCAGAGCAAGACAACTTCAGTGTGACAGAGAGAAAGGAAGTAAATGCCTGGGGAAGTAGTCAGATTCCTAAAACCAGGTGGCCAACAGAAATTGCAGAAGATTCTTCACTACCAACACTGCAACCCTGGCTCCCTCCATGGCAGGCTCACTCTGTGGGCTATTTGCGAGTTAAAGGCAGGAAGGACACATTCCATTGTGACCCGGACACCCTCCTCGCAAGTTGGAAGGGTCTCAGCTAGAACAATGCAGAGCACAGTGATTTGATTTCCCAACTGTCTGCATGTTGGGCTGTTTCCACCACCCAAAAAATAATGAATAAAAACTGTAAACCCTAATGGGTTTGCATTAGGATTAGTAAAACTCTGATTTTAAAAAAAACTCAGTAGTCAGATAGTACAGCAAGGAGGGCACGTGCTTTGCATATAACTGGTACTGGTTTAATCCCCAGCACCAAATATGGTCCATTGAGTCCCACCAGATCTACGCCCTGAGCACTGCTAAGTATGGCACCCAAACCAACAACCAAACAAACAAAATATTCAGTGCTAGTTAAACTTTGACTTACTCAGTGTCCGGCTATGTTAGGTATGTAACAAAATTGCAATCCTATTCAAGGAGAAATTCTTAATTTTTCTACAAACTTGCTCTTCTGCTTTGGAATCTATGGTTTCTGATATAAACTCTGCTATCTTCCCGGTCTTCTCTGAAATAGAGGCAACTTTGACATTTGCTCTCCCTCACTCCCATTTCATTTTTTTTTCAATGTAAGCCCTATTGGTACCATGTTTAAAACTTAACTTGAATTAATAATGTACTCCTTCCTGCCTCTACCTGGTGTGCTAGCACCTTCTCTTCCCTGGACTGCTACCAAGAGCTTTCCAACAGTTAGCTGCCTGCTTTTTTCTCTTGCCCCAGAAACTCAGTAAGTTTTCTGACCCTGATCTAAATAGACAAGTCACAGATACCACATTGTTACCTCACACTACAAGGCTTTGTGATCATCACAGCAATTATCACCATTCAAGAGCAACAGTCTATGAATTGATTTTTTCCTTCACTAGAACGAATTCTATACGCTTAAACCCCCTTCTTAAAACCTGGGCCTGTGAGATCTCTGCATCTCATTATCCTTACTTCTTTGGCTATGAAATCATAGGGCTATTCACAACTGCCTTGAACAGTTTCTACGAGGTATTTGCTGAATGAATGAATGAATTTCTATTTTATTACCTAGGTATTCAATTAGATGGAAAGTACCTGATTGAATCTCTGGGCATTTTCCAGGATTTTCCTTTCCTCCTTCAGGCAGTTGTAGATAATCATGGACATCTGTATTGGATCCTCCTGAAAATTATCCTAGATATGATAGAATAAACACAAATTAAATTTTAGAGTATTTTACAAGGCATTACAAATTGAAATCATTTTGCTCCTATCCACTGAGAAGCTGTCTTATACTTATTAAATTTTATAGAAGTTAGTTTTCTTAGACTCAAAAATATTACTCTCATAAACTGTGACCAAAAAATGATGTTATCTTTCAAGTATATAAAAATACCTAAATCACCTTTTGATTTAAAACTAAAGCTACTTTCATTCAGGGTACAGAAAATATTTTTACATTAATGTCTACTGTTCTTGAGGCCAATTTTCTTCTATTAGAATCCGGAAACAATGCAAATGATACAAAACTCATTCTTTCAGCTTACATTCCTCAATTAATTATCTTTTGGTCTGCTATGAATTAAATAAAGCAAGAATACAATTCTCGGTTCTTTCTGGTTCCTTGTCAGGACTAGTTTGCAAACTAGTGGCAATTATGATTCCTTGTAATGGCTACTATAGGAAAGCAAATTTCTTTAAGTTAATGTAATTTCCCCACTCACTGTTATTTATAAAATCACAGACATAATTATAAAGGAAGAGGAAGTCTCTCAACTATCTAAATTGAATAGTTGGGTTTTGTTTTATAAAGCAAGAAAACATTAAAACACAAAAGGTCCATGTATACAGAAATGAATGAGGAAGCCAGGCTTAACATTATACATTGAGAAGATGTCTAAAGAGTAAAACTTTGTGGCATTACTTGCTCCTGCCTGTACCTCCTTTGGCTTTTTCCGCGGAGGAGGGGGAAGGGCAACTCTACCAGAAGCAAGACAAGACAGAAGTTTTAATTCACCAACTCATCAAAAGGCCTTAGGAATATCAATGCTTTATGACTTCATTACTGTACCCATGACTTGGTACATTACTGTACCCAAATACATTACAGAACTCATCCTTTGTGCCTAAACACCTTGCCACTGCTCTTAAACACTCCCTTCTTGGTTTAAACATTGGCAATTTTTGGTATTACATTTTCTTAAAACTACTGACATTGGGGCTAGAGCAATAGAATGGTGTGGGTGGGTGCTTGCCTTGTACCCAGATGACCTTGGTTAGATCCCCAGTACCATACACGATCCCTGGGCTCTGCCAAGAGTGCTCCCTGAGCACAGAGTCAGGAATAAGCCCTGAGTACCACGGGTGTGGCACAAAACCCCCCAAAAGGTGAAAACAAATGAAAATTACTGACACCTAATAGGTGATACACTGAAATTTGAAGACTCCTTACACGTTTCTGAAACAGTTGTCTTGATTTACTTATGTTTTAAATATTCACCACATAAAGATACTCACCACATATAGCCTCTGTAACTCATCGTAAACACTGTTTGTTTAAAAGTATTTGCTGGATGATTAACAACTCTTTTGGATAAATCAAACACGGGCGCACGTCAACTAAAATGCTCAAGCCCAATCATACCTGAAGATTACGCTTGCTTTTTCTTATGTTGTGCTGCAATAAAAAATTATTTTGCAAGGAAAAGCGGCTGTATTGATCGTCCAGCTGTGACAGGAGGTCATGAAAAAGGATGGTGGCAAATGAAACGTCATAGGCAGCATGCTCCCTGCAGGATTGAAAATGCACACAAATCATGTGGAATACTATTTCAAGTAGAGAAATACTGCTTTTTTATTGAAACAATTTCAAATAACTAAAAGTATTTTTCTTAGGATTTAGTTATTTGTTTTAAAACTTTTTTAAGTAGCAGTTTGTACATCACTAGCATAAAAACTCTAAAACTCAGGTCTGATGAGGTAGCAGAATGGGTAAGGCATTTATTTTGCATTTGTCTGGCCCCAATTTAAACCCAGGCACTGTATATGGTCTCTTGAGCATCCCCAGAAGTGATCCCTGAGCAAAGTGATAGGAATAAGCACAGCCAGATGTGATAAAAAAAACACACCAGAAATTTTTTACAAGGTATTGTCAATGATGGTCTCTGGAGGGGATAAAACCAGCAGGGTTCTCATAATCTTTATGAGATATCTCCTTCCTATTTATTTATTTATTTATTTATTGAATCACTGTGGGAAAAGTTACAAAGCTTTCAGGTTTAAGTCTCGGTCATGCAATGATGAAACACACTTCCCTTCACTTATTTTTCACAAGATATCTCCTTAATTTTATCACTTTCTTCTGATCTCTCATCTCTGTTTTGCCATAGGTCAGCTCTATACCTTTTAACAAACTTCTCTCTGTAGCCTTGGTCCTAAGTCAAAATATAATTGGTGTCAGTGTTACTTGATTTGTCCAAAGTTTGAGAAATAATGCTTTGGCTAAGCTTGCTCTTTAAGCCCACGTTCTCCCTTGTTCTTGCTTGCTCATTTCTGTTTCTTTGCCAGTTTATTTCCACTCTAAGAAGCCTGTGTTCTGTCTTAAACATCTCTCTCTCTCTTATTCCTCACGTCTTTCTCATTTCTGTTTCTTTGCTAGTTTATTTGCACTCTGGAGAAGCCTATGTTCTGTCTTAAACATCTATCTCTCTCTCCCTCCCTCTCTCTCTCTCTCTCTCTCCCTCCCTCTCTCTCTCCTTCCCTCCCTCCCTCCGTTCCTCCCTCCCTCTCTCTCTTCTCATATCTTTCTAATTAAGTTTAATAAAAACCATCTTGCTTCATAAAAATAACAAAGTGCTTTGAGTAATGTATTTAACAGTATAGAAATACATGCCACTTTTCAGGCCAGAGTGATTGTACAGCAGGTAAGGCATTTGCCTTGCATGAGGGCAACCCAGATTCAAGCCCTGGCATCTCATACAGTCCCCTAAGCTCACCAGGAGTGATTTCTGAGCACAGATCCAGGAGTAACCCCCAAGCGCATCACCATGACCCCAAAATCTAAAACCCCAAAGAAACACGTGTCACATTTAAAAAGTCAGCACAGTTTTATGGAATAGATAATTCCAATAGCTATTGTTGAGATTCATCTTAATGAGGCTTCAAGGTGCTTAATCATCAACTGTAATAAAACATCTCCCTCTGTTAGTAAACTTTCCTTACCAGTCTTGCTTTTCTAGCCATGGGGCCAGGTACTGTCTAATTTCCATGGGAAAACTGTCATCATAGAGTTGATGAACCAGCTCCAGGAATTTGGAGTCAAGCTGCTGGAGTTCAGACCACTGAGACATCCTAAAAAGAAAGAAATTATAGCTTATAAATAGAAGCCCTCAAGTCCAAAGAAATCAGATGTAACACTGCATTTTTACTGATGCTTTAAATATTATTTGCAGGGGTAGGTGTCAGGACCACTCATGGTGGTGCTCAGGGTCAATTCCTGGCTCTGTGCTTAGGAGTGACCCTGGAGGTATCTGGGGACCCATATGTAGTGTAGGGGAGGTAGGAGGGAAACTGGGGACACTGATGGTGGAAAATGTACACTGGTGAAAGGATGGGTGTTAGAACATTATATAACTACAAAAAATCATGAACAACCTCGTAACTGTATCTCACTGGGATTCAATTAAAAAAATTAAAAAAAGGTCTGTGATTCAATAAAAAATTTTAAAATAAAATAAAAGGTATCTACACTTTTATCAAATAAATAAAAAGATCACAAAAACTGATCATAGGGGCTGGAGCAATAGCACAGTGGGAAAGGCGTTTGTCTTGCACAGTTCGATTCCGAGTATCTACATGGTCCCCTGAGCACCGCCAGGAGTAACTCCTGAGTGCATGAGCCAGGAGTAACCCCTGTGCAACGCTGGGTGTGACCCAGAAAGAAAAAAAAATGATCATAAAAACTCTCCAAAAGTTGCCTTTACAAAATACAATACATTTATAATTTAACTGAAAGAGATTTAAACTGATATTTTATGATTTGCATCCTGAAATGATTTTTGTCATAGATCTTCTAGAAGAGATGCTTTTCCTCTTTTGCCTATGACAATGAATCTCACAAAAAATCTTAAATTTCAGCCATAATGTTTTTTAAAAGATTCACTGTCCTGTCACTGTCCTGTCATTGTCCTCCCGTTGTTCATCAATTTGCTTGAGTGGGCCCAGTAACATTGTGAGACTTGTTACTGTGTTTGGCATATCGAATACGTCACGGGGAGCTTGCCAGGCTTTGCCGTGCGGGCGAGATACTCTTGGTAGCTTGCCGAGCTCTCCGAGAAGGGTGGAGGAATCGAACTCGGGTCAGCCGTGTCGGCCGTGGGCAAGGCAAACGCCCTACCCGCTGTGCTTTATCATTGTTAAATATAATTTGAAAGGACAAAGTAATATCTCTTGGGATAACTAAGTCAACTGTCAAACACAGAAATTCTGAAGATGAAAATATAAAACAAGAACCAGGGAGAAAGCTCAAATGGCTGGAGCACATGTCTGGCTTGCATGAGACCTTGAGTTCAACTCCTCGTACCCGTATCTCGTACCACATGCCCCTGCCTCCTTCAGGTGTTTCAGGTGTACCCCTTCTGCCCCCCAGCACTGCAGGGCCTGAGCAGACCCATCCTGGGGCCAGAGCACCAAACTGTTCAGCTTTCACAGGTGGGCCAAGTGGACCTTAGGCTTCCTGAGCACTGACTGTGAGCCTCCCAAAATAAAATTAAAACGCAGTTTAAAGAAATCCTAACCTCCCTTAGGAAAACAGAGAGCATCTCAACACCATAGGATAACTTGAGATTTACACCAGTGTACCACTGACAATAAAGAGGGGATATACATGAGTATTATACAGTCTCTGAGGACAGGTTCTGGGTTGTCAAGCAGGTGATGGAATGGGACAGGTGCGCTTGGTGGCGAGCACACATGCGCAAAGCTCAAGGCATTCTTTTCTTCGGAAACAGCATGGTAAAACCAGGAAGCTAATTGCCAGGACCGACAACATTAGAAATGGAGCCAAATCAGGCCGATCGGTACACTATCTATAGCGATTCGATTTTTCACTTCAAACTTATCTTACCTATACTTCAGAGGATTATAAATATGTGGATCTCTCCCTCCCTCCAATCCCCCCTGCCTGCCCCCACGTCAGTGTCTCCTAAGGCTGGTCTGCAGGTGAACCAACAGGTCCTGGGTTACAAAACCTCTTACTTCTCAGATGAAAATTTAGGGAACCTGTTTTTCTATCAATAGGTGATTCTGGGTGGACTATACAGACAGAGTACTTGGCACAGAGCAGGTGACAAATAAATTCATGTCGACATTTCCAAATTCGCTCTGCCTTTTTTCACATAACGTGTTAGTAACACAGTGTGTAGTGTGACTGCACTTTCCCCTCCATCCAATCACCTGGCTCAACTCCCAAATTCAGGACTGACTCCCATCTCTCAAGCCCTAAAATCTCCCACCTCCAACACTCCATCTTCCCAGTTTAGCTTCCTGGAATATGTGCCTCTTTTTTCAAAGCGCACGATAACTATTATATATTCTTTTTTTTTTTTGCTTTTTTTGGGTCACACCCAGCGATGTTTAGTGGGTTACTCCTGGCTTTGCACTCAGGGGGACCATATGGGATGCCGAGGAATGAACTTGGGTTGGCGGTATGTAAGGCAAATGCCCTACCCACTGTACTATCGCTCTGGCCCCCTGTTGTATATTCTTAAGCATATTTCGAACCTCCCCACTCCCCAACCTCCCCACTCCCCACCACCCACTTCATCTAACAACAGAGCGATCTAGTGATCCAGTAACCCAATTATCTACCTTGGCAAGGTGGAGGGGTGGGTGTGTGTGTGTGTGTGTGTGTGTGTGTGTGTGTGTGTGTGTGCGTGCGCTCGCAACATTTCTGCTTTTATCCGTTACTTACCCTTGGGATAAAAACAGTTGTTTTTATGGAGTAATAGTACAGTGGATATGGTCCTTACCTTGCACACAGCCAACCTGAGTTCCATACCTGGCACCCAATATGGTCCCCAAAGCCCATTGGGAGAGATCCCTGACTTCAGATTCAGGAGTAAGCTCTGAGCACTAGAGGGTTTGCCTGCCCACCCCCCCCATGCCCACTAAAACCCCAAACAAAACAAAGTTCGCTTTCCTAGAAATTGCTGCTCTTCTAAAACTAGGTATGAATGTCACTTCTTCCACAAAGCTGAGATTTACCCAGAGATTCTAGAGTTCAGACTTAACCATCATTGCATTCTGCTGGAACACATCTGCTGTGGCATCACTCTGCCTCCCTTATAAAAACTCCGTTATCTCCCATGAAACAGGCATGTAATTTCATGTAGGAAGCATGACGCCAACACCAGAGTTGCCAGGAAAAGTTTTTTTCCCAAACATCTTGCATATAACATCAACCCAACAATAGTTTACCGAATTAAAATATGATATATTTCTGATTAGATTTTAAAAGGGAGCAGTAAGCCCTACTACATATAGTGAGTTTGAGTTCTGCCTCCTCTCGAAGCAACAGCTGCACACAGGGTTGTGCTGGAGGCGGTGGTCTTTTGTCCCATAAAAACCAATCATCTTTCCACCCTACATAAAGACACCTAGAGCAAGTCCATCTCTTACCTACAGATCTCCTGCCAAGTCTGGTAACAATCTCTCTCTCTCTCTCTCTCTCTCTCTCTCTCTCTCTCTCTCTCTCTCTCTCTCTCTTTCTTAGACTACACAGTGGGGGGGCTGGAGTAGGAGGTTTGCAGGAACTACACAATTCATTCGTCTTTTGTAATCCAGAACACTTCGTAGACAAAGGATACATAATCAAAGTTCTAAAGTCAGGTACTCATTCATTCCTTGCAGCAAACTTTTACCGACCTGCCCCCACAGGTGGTCCTCACACGGGGCTGGGGATTGGACCCACGCAGCAGCCACACACAGCACGTCTGGGCTCAAGTCTGGGGTTTTTGCATACACCGGGTGCAAGCGTCTAACTTTTACGCAGCACTCTGAGGATGAAGAAAAAAAGAAAGAAAGAAAGAAACGTGTCAGAAAGAGGCAGGGAAGAAGGGAAAAATTAAGGGGGGAGAGAAAGACACGGTGTTTTGAATAGGGGGAAATATTGTATTTCACAGGGTGTTTTTTTTTTTTCTCTTTCTTTTCTTTTCCCTCCCTGGCAGGGGCAACCGCACCATCACCCAGAACAGCACAGGGAATACTCGGGTCACGCTGTCTTTCCAGGATGACGGTCAGCAGTGCAAGGACCCGACGGCGCCGCCGCCAAGCGACCCCCCTGCTACTGGGACCCCTCACCCCCCACGCCTGCTCACCCTGCGCGCTGGGCCGGGAAGCGGTGAGCGCGGAGATGCTGCGACTCTCGCGCGCACCCGCTCTGCGCGATCTGGGGGAACCTGGGGTCCGGTGGGCGTCGACCGGGTCGCGGGTGTGTCTGTCCAGCGGACACTGGAAAGCGAAAGTAGCTGCGGGCAGAAAAGGCCGCTCCGGGGAGCCCCGCCTCCTGCGGCGTCCGCCAATCGCCGGGCGACCGCGGCGCTCGGCCAATCGGACGCGGCTGTTCCGCGAGTGCGCCACCTCCCGCCGCCACTGGACCGCCTCGCCCACATCCTGCACCCCTCGGAGGCTGGAGACTGGCTTCCCGCGTCGAGGACTAGTTCTGTGTTGCAAGTTGGTGGGCCTGCGGTGATGTTTACATACTTTAAAGAACCGCCAAAAGGAAGTTCAGTGTTAGCGAAAGTTCACTTTCGAATCCTGGCCATGGTCCCACATCTGGGAACCCCAGGGAGACAGAGGTTGTAGACTTTGACGTTCTAGAAGCTCCGGTTAGCAAGAGACCTCCGACTGGCCAAACCCAGAAAATTCTCTGCTCTTTTCTTGACCCCCAGTAAATGCTGGCACACTTGTTGCCACCATTCCTTGGCCATGCCTGCCATTCATCGTTGCTCCAGCCTGCCTCCCTGGCACTCTCTTCTCATTTCTGCTCTGCTTCTGCTACTGAATCAGTGTTAATGTCATGGACCTCATCTTGGTCAGCGTCACCTACTCTTGTCCTCATCTATCCTGTGATGACCTTGTCCCCAGCTTCAATTTCCTTCAAGATGTAGAGGATACCTTCTAGGGTATTCTGTACACTGGCCATAGCTTCCTGAGCACCTCATCCATGTGTACAGTCTCCCCCTTTTGCCTTTCTATTTGCATGAATAGTAAGCTCTGCATCATCTTCCTCCTTACACCTGCCTTTTGCTATAAATCGCACGTGCCAGAGACCTAAAGGTCACCCTTGATGTTGCTTTCTTCCATAACCCTGAAAATAGTTCTCGTGGGACTGAGGATGTAGCTTAGAGGTCGAGTATTTGTTTTGCATGTGATGTGTTCCACGTCTGACACCAAAAATTAATATTTTTAAGTGATATTCTTTTTATTTAGTTAGATCCCCTGTATTTTTTCCCGCTTTTTTGGGGGGTCATATCTGGTGATGCACAGGGGTTACTCCTGGCTCTGCACTCAGGAATTACTCCTGGTGGTGGTGCTCAGAAGAGCATATGGGATGCTGGGACTCAAACCCAGGTCGGCTGCGTGCCAGGCAAATGCCCTACCCGCTGTGCTATCACTCCACTGTCCTCCCATTGTTCATCGATTTTGCTCGAATGGGCCCAGTAACGTCTCCATTTTGAGACTTGTTGTTACTGTGTTTGGCATATTGAATATGTCACGGGGAGCTTGCCAGGCTCTGCCATGTGGGCAAAATACTCTCATAGCTTGCCGGGCTCTCCAAGAGGGGTGGAGGAATCAAACCTGGCTCGGCCAGGCCGGGCTGTGTGCCAGGCAAGCACCCTACCGCTGTGCTATTGCTCCAGACTCACAAATAATATTTTTAAGTATTCATCTCATCGCTTCTCTTTAAATATCATATATTTATAAATGTTAGGCTACCATGAAAGAAACTACACTATCTGTTCTCATTAGATGATTGCAGTAGATTTCCAAATGTATGCCTCATTCCAACCCAACTCCCTTTCCAGTCAACAGCTATTGAGTGTTTTTTCTAAATTGCAAAGCAGATATGTTTGCAACCTGAAGCTCCTATGATGGTTTTTCTGGCAAAATCCAAACAATTTCAGGATAGCATATTAAACGCTGACTTCCCTGATTTTCTCCAACCTTGTCTTGTGCCACATTTCTTACTTAAGCATTTTTATTCTTGAAATAAATTACCCTCTTTCCCCAAACTCACCAGTACTTCTCCATTTGGAAAACCCCTTGAGCCAATATTCCCCTCCCCAACATCTCAGAGAGTTAGTTCATCTGTTGTTTGTTAGCTAAAATCTCCACTTATATGCCAGTGAGTCAGGCATTCTTGGAGGATGCATTCTTGAGATGAGACTAGACTAGATCTTGTTGGAATAAAAGTAATTGATTCCTTCTAGCAAATGGAACTGAATCAACTTTGATTAATAGGGCAACTTTGGGTAAGAAAAGAGTACAAATATTTTTCTCAGAGATATTCATATATGTGCATGTACTCTTTAAAAAAATTATTCCCACATCTGTATACTACTTTTCACACAGTCACCCTCACGAAGTCCTTCAGCCTGGCAATAGCAATGACCTTTGTTCCTAAAGTAGCAGCCTTCTTTGAAATTAGGCCAACAAAATGAATCTTTTCCTTCCCCTTTGCCCACATGAGTCCAGGCAATATTTTTAAATAGCGAATTTTAAAAACATTAAATAATTTGTTAAAAATAGTTTTCTCTGGTACTATACAACTTTTTTTTCTTCTTGGGTCACACCTGGCGTTGCACGGGGGTTACTCTTGGCTGTGCACTCAGGAATTACTCCTGGCAGTGCTCAGGGGACCATATGGGATGCTGGGGATCCAACCTGGATTGTCTGCATGCAAAGATAATCATACTACCCACTGCAATCACTCCAGCTCCAGTAACTAGGCAGTTACACCCACAAACTGCCCCCAGCGCCATGAAATCCCATCAATGGCCAAGATTCAGAGACTATAAAACAAAGCTTCCGAACTTCTTGTAGTGTAGTTCTCCTTCTTGGAGAACCTGGCAGCTACCAAGAGTATCCTGCCCACATGGCAGAGCCTAGCAAGCTCCCATGGCGTATTCAATATGCCAAAAACAGTAACAATGATGTGTCTCATTCCTCTGACCCTGAAAGAGCCTCCAATGTGGCACCATTTGGAAGGACGAGTAAGGAGAGGCTGCTAAAATCTCAGGGCTAGGACAAATGCAGATGTTACTGGTGTCTGCTTGAGCAAATCGATGAATAACGGGATGACAGTGATACAGTGATACTATACAACTTGCACAGAGAGAGCTTCAACATGGGCAAGTGAATTAAATAAATTTGATGTCTGCAAACAGGATGTTTCCCTACTTGTATATTTTAATTGTTTTCAAAATTCATGCTTCCTTAACTCTACCCTTATCCTCAATTATTAACAATACCCTCTATAAGTTTTCACTTCAAAACTAGATTGGTTCTAAACAGATTACCTTCTTTTTGTACCTTTCTCTGCCATTGTATTTGCCAAATTAACATAATAAATATCCAACTCTCCATATTTATGCCATTATTTTCTGATCAAAAGACTTGACAACTCTCAATGTATGATAAATAGGAACTTTGATTGTCTGGATCTTCTGTAAAAACATCTCTACACATCTTTTTTATCTTGTCTTCCACCATCTGATTTCCAAAAAAAACTATCTTCTGCTTTCCCCATTGTGCTTTTGATGTTCCTCATCCTGTTCAACTACACTTACTATATCATAGATTTCACATACTAAATAGCAACTCATGCTTTGTAGTCCTTCATTCAACCAATCAAAACCAAGCTCACTCTTGCCCTTTCAAACCTGAGTTCTCACTTTATCATGTATCTTGCTTGCTTGTCTCTGTTTTCTTACTTGCTCTTTCAAGCTCTTGTTCTTTCTTTAACACATATTCCTTTCTTGCTCCTCTCTCTCATATCTTTTAAGCTACATTTACAAGAACTATCTTTCTTCAATTTAAAAAAAACCCCAGGGGTTGGAGAGATAATACAAGAAGTAAGATTATTGCTTTGCATGTACCTGACTTGGGTTTTATTCCCAGAACCTCACTGGTTCCCAGAGCCTTGCAAGTCAGGAATGATTCCTTAACAGAGAGCCTGGAGTAAACCCTGAACACTGCCAGGTATGGCCACCACATCAAACAAAATAATAACAAACCCCAAACCTCTTATTCTCCTTTTAACCCCTCCTTAAGCTTTGCTAATCAATCAGATCTCTGAAATAATACTGTTCATTTTTATTCGGTCATCATACATTCCCTATGTTATGCTTTGTTAAGTGACCAAGGCTTCTATCTCAAAGTTTATGTTTCTGCAGAAAAAACTGCATATTATAACCATTTGACGTATTGACTATTTAAGAAGCAAACAAAAAGCCAATTAAAATATTAGAGACCTAGAAGAATCAGGACCAAATGTGTGATAACTCCCTTAGAATAATTGATCACTTGACCACTTGACATCCCATTACTCATCGATTTGCTTGAGTGGGCACCAGTAATGTCTCCATTTGTCCCTGTCACATACTAGTGTAGCCCAATGGCGTCTGCTCGTTCTAGAAACACGAAAAGCCTCAAACCGATCATTCAGGGTCTTGAAGAAGTCTGACCATATCGTAGGTGAGCGGCCACGTAATCTTTTGACATCCCGTGGAATCCAGTCTGTAACTGCTCTAGTCTAGCGGTTGTCTCCAAATCTCATTACGTGTCCAGCCCATCTGATTTTCGACGCCTTGGTAAAGAGACAGCATGCCTGATTCTTGACCATCGACAAAGGTCGGAAGTCCAGATTCTTTCTCTCATTTGAGTGAAACGTGATACTCCAAGCATAGCTCTTTCAATTCCTCTTTGGGAGCCCTGAATAGTGTTCTCATCCTGTTTTCATAGGGCCAAGGTCTCTGAGGCATATGTTAATGCAGGAAGAACAGTGGAATCGAAGAGATATGCCCGGAGCTGGAGGTTCTTTGTCCTCTTAGCTATTTCTTCGATGCTCTTGAAGGCATTCCATACCACTCTCTTCCTCCTGCGCAACTCAGGTGCCAGGTCGTTCGTCACGTGGACTTCTCCACCTGGTACACATAACTGTTGCATTCGGAGATGTTCGTTCCGTTGAGAGTGAATGGAACGCCAGGAAGGAGACCGTTTCTCATAAACACTGTCTTCGTGAGATTCAGATATAGTTCAACCTTTCCACACTCATGGTCGAAGTCGGCCAGCATTTGAGCCGCTTGGCTAATGTTTGGTGTTATTAGAACGATGTCATCAGCAAAGCAGAGGTGGTGTAGTTGCCGACCGTCTATCTTCACTCCCATTCCTTCCCTTTCCATTCTAGTCATCACATGACGTTCTTGAGGGTGGCAC